CAACTGCCAGTCTAGCTCCTTTAGCATGGGCAGGTTAGTACCAAACCCTCTCACCTACTACACATGCTCTACGAAACTAGGACCTGCCTGTTTTCCTCACTGTTCCTCTCAGCCCAGCAGAGCTGGATTAACAAGGTGAGAGTCCATGCTGCCAGCTGCCAATGCCGAGAGAAAGTCCAGTTTCACCCTCACACAATCACCATCTGACCTTCTGCTACTGCAGGTTCCTGTGAGCTGATAAGGCACCTGCAGAGCCACACTGGGATAAAGTGTCCCTTAACAGAGGATGTTCTGGAAAGGGGTCATGTGTGCTGGCATCTCAGGAGGCCTTTGAAAACCAACTGGGCTTGTGCACCCTGAGAGCTGCAACAGACGGCAGTGACAGTTAGAAACTGTGAGGCCTAAAGCCTGAGGCTGGCAGATGGACAGTATTCACAGCAAACAAAAGACACAGCACCTACTTTACCAAAAATGAGATTCAGAACTCTGAAAAGGCTGGCTTTGGAGTGTGTGTCTCATTCAGCAGTGCCTGCCTGTCTGTCTAAGACGCCATACTAAAAGAAACTGAATGCAAATTGCCTGTGTGCAGCAGTCAGGCTGCCCTCTCCACATTGGGAACAGGGCCCCCATGGGAGGGAAGAGGCTGTGAGTGGGAACAAGTGACTAAACTATGACTGACTTCTGGCTTTTACTCAGCTTAGCTATTTTAGTACTACAGGCTTAGAAATACCTGTAAAATAATTACAACACAACACAGCAGACCAAGTTACTTCAGATTTATTTGTCAAATGATTCTTTTGCTGAATGAAAAGATTCAACCTTTCTCATCACTTTCAATGGAGAAGCAGATAAAATCTTTATTTGCAGCCAAGCATCATTGGGTCTAGAACCATTACAGGGAAATTAGCCTCCAGGTTTAAACGCAAGGCAGGATGGCTTCTTCACCCTCAAAAAATGCTGGGCAACCATGGCTCCAATTCCACATCCAGACATAGAACCTTCTCTCTGAGTGCACTCCCTCTCCTGTCATAGCAAAGGTCTTCTTGGAGGAGCTCCAAGTGTGGGTCTGGATAGAAAGAAAAGCCACTTTTCTCTACTGCAGCCTAGTACCTGACCCACCAGTCACTCAGGGCCATCATGGGAACCAGGCACTGTGCCCCAGCTTCACTCAGTGTCTAGGGCCTCAAGGTTCTCCATTCTTAGCACTTGATGGAGTCTTGGTAAGCTGAAGAACAATGTGCCCCTAAGCATTCAGGGGTATACTGGGGTGAGGTTAACAAGCCCTGTTGGTGAGATGGCAAAGCATGCCATGAGAGAGACAAGCAAGGAACTGCTGTGGTGACTGGGTCTGTTTCATTGCCTGGCACCTGAGACGCAGTGCTGACAGTCTTCTGGGTGGATGGCCTGGACAGCCTTACTGAGTAAAGCAACCCATGTGGCTATTTGAAAATGCATGAGCAGCTGAGGTCCCTAACAGGCTAACTGCAGCTACCCTGGAAAAGAGGCAAACTCTCTGGAGACCTGGCTGGCAGCTGGCCTTGGCGGATAGTAAAGTGACCAAATGGCTGTGACATACACAGAAGAGTGGTTGCCCTCTGCTGTTGGTTCTGACACCTGCTGCTTTCAGGACTCTGGCACCGCCACACCCCTCAGCAATTGCTGTCCCCAGTGTCCCTCTCTACCTGTTTCCAGTACATGGATAATGGACACCCTATAAATACTAAGCAGCCATCTTCAAGAGCCTGTGTTCTAAGTAGGCAGAAGATGCCAGACACCATTGGAATGACACCAGGGGAAGGCATAGAGGCTTAGCTACTGCTAGCAGCAGCAATGGGCACTCAGTCTGTGGACGGCACACTCTGTGCCTATCTACCTGTCCAACACCTCCTACTCTCAAGTGCCAATGTCCTCTCTAGGGACACAAGAAGTGAGCCAATGGGGTTCTGTCATCTGGGCACCATCACCTGCAATATAAGAGACTAAACTCCCCCTTGCTAGATAAGAACTATCTAGCAAGACATTCTAGATGCTGTGGTGTGGACCTGCCAGGTCTCCTGTTCCCCTTCAAATTCTTCACCAAGAATTTTAGAGCCAACAACACATCTGTCCTGCTCTCCAGGGTGGACTGAAGGGGAGAGAAGAGCCCTGGGGTCACAAAGAGCTCAGAAAGACCCGGACTTCAGGGCACAATCCTGTTCTAGGTCTCTACGGCAATCCTTCAGTGGCCAGGAGAGTAAGCACAGGTGTCAACTGCCAACCCAACTAAACATGAAATAAATGATTTCAACAGAGCAGGCTGTGTTCTGGGAAATACTTAAGGTGAGAAGGGCCTACGCCAGTGCCATATAAACACTAGAATGGCCTCTGGATCTACTGAACAGTAGAACTTTTGTTAACCCATCTCTCATAAGGAAAACCACTATTTCCCCCCCCCCAAAGTCAGTGAAGAGCCAAAGAAACTTCACCCTTTACCGTAAGTTTTTGAGGAAGTGGAAGGTGTCCTGAACCAAAGACACAAGGCTGGGGAATCTCTCCCTCTATAGACCTTCCAGCTGCTCGCTCCAATTAGAAAAGACTGAAGGGCAGGAAGGCAAGCAAAAGCCACCTTCTAGCTCTAATCCCCACCCATGGCAACAAAGCCAGTTCAACCAGAGACTGAGGTGGGGGCTGGGAGAAACCACTGGGCACTATTTCAAGGTGGCAGAAAGAGAGACCTGGGGAGGACCCAATGCAAGGCCTGCATGTCCAACTCACAGGTGACTGATTACCCCTAAGGACCCTCTCTCCTGCTAGATAACCCAGGCAGAGAGCCAGCAGGAAGCATAGCCAAGTCGAGGCTAGGGCAGAGGGCTTAGTGCTTCCCATACTCTGCACAGAATTCCAGAAGACAAGGCACAGAAGGGGTACTGAGGTCAATATCCCAGGACAGGGTTGAGAGTCAAAACCTTAGGAAGGAAGTTGTCCTTACAATTCCAACATGACAGATATCACAAGGGATATCTTCTGTTGGTGGGTGTCTTGCAAAGGTAGGGTCCCTTACAATAGGCAATCAGATATCTTTGGAGCTTGTGCTGACAGGGTGTCGGAACCCACCCAGTAGCCTAGGCTGGGACTGATGACATAAGTGTTTACCAAATCCCTGGGTGCTTTCTTTGAGAGCCTTTGCCCTAGAACATACTCTGAGGGTCACATCCTGAGTCAGGCAGCTCTGCCCTCAGCATCCCTGCTTCCCTCTTCAGGTCCACACCTGTTCCTGCCAGTCAGCTCTTTCACTTTCACCATACCTCATCAGTAAGCCTCAGGCCCCATCTTCTTGGCAGTCAGCCACTCTTTAAAGGTAACTGCATTTTATTAAGTCAATCACAGCATTAGCTGTGGATTTTTACTGTAGCACTTTCAGAACTGTTCTTTCTTCAAGTTCAGGGACAATTTCTAGAGCAGCCACTTTATAACATCTGATGTGGCTTATGCAAGTCAGTTACCAGACTGAAAGCCAGAACCGATATAAACAAAAAAGCTGCCAACAATTCCTGTCAGGGTCACCTGCATGTCCACCAACAAGTATCAAGAACTAGAAAGTCCTCTCTACTAAGTGGCTTAAAAAAATAAAAATTACACCCCCCCCCCCCCCCCCCCGAAAAAAACCAAAACACCATATAAACTCTGCCTTTTCAGTGTCTGGTCACAGTTTTGGAAAGTGCTTGCCAAGGACTTAAGAAAACCTGAGGCGGCTTAGAGGTTAAAAACACAGACTGCAGCAGGGTGGTGGTGGGACATGTCTTTCATCCTAGCATTCAGGAGGCAGAGGCAGATCTTTGTGAGTTCTAGGCCAAGCTGGTCTACAGTCATGGCTACACAGAGAAACCCTGTCTCAAAATACTACAAACAAACAAACAAAATCCACATACTGCTCTTGCAGGGGACTGGAGTTCCTTTCCTGGCACTTACACCCTACAGCTCCCTACCATCTGTAACTCCAGCTTCAACGGATTCAACACCTCTGGCCTTCAAGGGAAACTGCACTCACCTGTACATACCCGCACCCACATAATTCAAAATAAAACAAATATGAGAAAGAAAGAAAGAAAGAAAGAAAGAAAGAAAGAAAGAAAGAAAGAAAGAAAGAAAAAGGAAATTTAAGACACAAGAGAACAATTCCATTAGATTCTACATAAAAGATTAGCACTCAAGAAGCAGAGGTCAGTGGAGTCAGCCTGGACTACATTGTGAAACTCTGAAAAAAAAAAAAAAAAAAAAAAAAAAAGCCAAGGTGCCCCCAACAACGAGGAAAGAGAAGGCAAACATTTTAAAATAGTCATTTGCAATTGTGTACTTGGAAAAAGGGCTTCTTTGCAAATCTGTTTAAGAAAAACACAGCCGTGTTAAACACCAGACCTAAAACCTAAGGTGCAGGAAAAAGAGTAACAATTTGTTGTCCTGCGTCCTGAGATCTGTAATTTGAGGTGAGTTCAACAGTAGTAAAGCAGTGAAGCCAAACCTCAGTCAGTGCTGGGAAGGCTACTGCACAGCCACTTAAATCCATTTACAGGAGCTGCTGGAAGGGGTCTGAGGTCTGCAAAGGTGAATAACTTAGCACCGAGAAAGAACTAAACACGTGTGGGAAGATTTCTTAAAAGCTATGGTTAGTGAACAAGGAGCTCAGCAAGAAGACGCTTTGTAAACTTTGTTTCTGCAGAGCAGTCCCCAGAGTGTCTGGGTTTCTAAGTTTCTCGGCCCAATGCCCAATGTCGGTTACCTAGCAAAGCAGGTTGGGGTTTGACAGGAATGGGGGCCTTCCAGAGACGGTAGGCTCTGAAACGAAATTGCTGGGGATGAGGAAGGTCGAGGCTGATGAGGTAGTGGCTAGGAAAAGAGGCTGGGGACGGGGTGAAGCCGGTGTTCAGAGCTGGCGACCTCGGGAAAGCTATCTGTTCCTGCTGTGGCTTCGACCCACACAGCTGTTGCTCGGAGGAACGTCCGCCGGCGCGCAGGACCCTCACCTCGCACGTCCGCCGCCAGCGCTCGCCAGGTGGGTGCGTAGCCGATGCAGTGGCCGCACCACGACGAGTGGAACTGCACTAGCCACGCGGCTGAGCTGTTGCTCGTGGCCGAGCGCACGCTGCCGCTGTCCAGCAACCACACGGCGTCCTCGCCCACGCGGTACAGCCGCGACGCGACGCCCTGCCGGGGCCCCACCGCCGCCACCGCGGCCAGCAGCAGGAGCAGCCGCGCGGCCCGAAGAGAGGGAAGCTGCCGCGCTCCGGCTCCCAGACAGCGCGCCACAGCCCGGGCCGCCGCCATGTTGGGAGTGCCGCCGGCGCGCTGACCTTTCACCCTGGCAACCGCCGTCACGTGGTTCAGCGCGACGGTCACGCCCTTGCACTGGCCCCGCCCCGAATCCGCTAGTCACCCCAGGCACCACCCCTCGCTCCTCTAGCCCCGCCCCCGTGAACTGGCCCCGCCCCAGAACATAGGCCCCGCCTCACTGCCTAGGCCTGCTCCTCCCCCACACTTCTGGCCCCGCCCCTACTCTCGGGTCAGTGTTGGCCCTGTTCGTCCCCAACCACAAGTGCTTTTCATTCAGTGAAGAGCCTGGGCCTAGGTAGTCATATTTAGCAGGGGGAAATAGCCCTTGCCACGTTGAATGTGAACTTGAATACACATCAGGCCTGGGGCTTCAGTCTGAAATGCAGATTTAGGCTTAAAAGCTATTTGCTATGTCCCTGAAATTCATGAATTTACCTATGATTTTACATATAACCTATTATTTTTACCTGTCAACCTCTAACGTCCACGATGATCACCTTGACCTTTTTATAACCCACAGAATATAGTATAACTATGGGCAATGTGAGACGGCCTCCTGCTAAGACTGTAGAAGGGAGAAGTGGACCTGACTCTTTTTAGATAGGTTTCTGAGGCTGGCATAGGATCCACTGTGTAGCTGACCTTGAACTCCTTGTCCTTCGGCCTTCCTAGCACTGGAATTCCAGATGTGCACTGCCATGTGGGGCTTCTCCAATCACTTAGTCTACTTTCCTAGCTAATAATTGGCTCTGTGCCAAGCCCTAGAGAGAACACATAACCCAAACCAAGCCCTGGTAGCAGGAGAGTGTAGAGCAAGAAAGCAAGTGGGGGAGGAGGCTGCTGTGCATATAAGAGCAGGGAGTCGTCTCTTGGGAAGTTCCTGAGTCTAGGACCGGGAACATATACAAAGTTCCTGGGGTGAGGCTGCAGAGGCCTTGGGAAATGGAGTGTGGAACTGGTTTTGGTTGGAGCAGAGTATGCTAGGGAAAGAACAGACGGAAGAGAAGTTGTTATAAAAGACTAAAATCCTAACCATTCTATTTCACTAATAAAGACCTAGGAACCAGATGCTGGGCTCAAAACCTGCTAGCTCAGAGAGACAGAGATGGCACCCAGCTGACCTTCCTTCTCAGCTCATGTCCCAGTGGAAAAAGCCCAAAAGGCTCACTAGTTCAGCTGACAGCCCAGGAGGAAAAGGCCAAAAAACAGAAGGCCAAAGGCCTACTAGCTCGAAGCTCAAAAGGCCAAAGTGCTAAAGCTCCTTCTACTTCTCCATGCTGTCTTAAATACCCTGAACTCAAAGTCCCTCCTACTCTTTAATCCCTGTCATTTGGTTTCTTGCTCCACCTCCTGACCTAGAGTTAACTTTATTAAATCCTGTGTACAGTACAGAAAGCTCTTGGCTCTTGGATTAAAAGTGTGTGGTAGGGATGGCTAAACCTCACCATATTCACCTGTTTACAGTAAACAGAAAGTTCGTGGATTAAAGGTGTGTGATAAGGCTCAATCTCACCAAACAAGAAACGGTTTTAGCCAGGGGCAGTGGCACACCCCTGTGATCCCAGCACTCAGAGAGGCAGAGGCAGGCCAATCTCTGTGAGTTCAATGGCCAGCCTGGTCTACAAAGAGAGTCCAGGACATCCAAAGCTACACAGAGAAACTCAAAAAACAAAACAAACAAAAAAACCCACAGGATTTTACAGTTCACAATTTTGGGATTCACAATGGGATCAAATATCCTGCAACAAGAAGTGCTCCCAGTGACACCATGAGGGTGATGGATGCCTGTGACTGTGGGTTTGAAGGCATGGGGATGAGGTTCCCTATATCCTAGTGAGAGATGAAGCAGGGCTTAGAACTAATGTACCCAGAGACCATAGGTTGGCTCTCAGCATCATCGAAGGCCTTTCTGTAGCCTGGGAGGACACAGGACACATTTCAGCTGAGGGAAAACCCTCCATGCAGGATGCAGGTAAGGCTGGTGTATGTGTGTGTGTGTGTGTGTGTGTGTGTGTGTGTGTGTGTGTGTGTGTATACATGTGCCCTAGCTTCCAAAGCCTGCAGTCTCATTTTATAGACACCCTGGCCTGCTCCCTGCTCTAGTTGTATTCTGAAGGCATGGCAGAGATGTGGGGGTTGCTTGAGGCAAAGGGAGACACTGGTTGGGAGACAAATACAAAGAAACTATTTAGTGTTTAAAGGCTGCCAGAGGGTGAGTAAGCAGAACCAGGCCTGAGCCTCAGATCCCAACTCTACCTAGAAGGCAAGAAAGTCTGAGGCAGGATGAGATAAGGAATTTTATGGGCAGACTCTGGAGGCTGGCTGGGGTCTCTCTCCAGCTGATAATCAAGAATTCCAATGCAATTAACATTTGCTGATACGGAGACAACATTTTCAAATATGATGTTAAGGTACCAACAAGCCATATTTGAGTCTTCTCAGTTTAAACCTGCAGAAATTTCTAGGAATTTCATAAGGTAACCCATTTACAAAAAAAGATGTGCCCAAGGGTTTATTTTACCAGACTGTAATTCCATCCACAATGATTCTAGAACCATCCTATAATCTCACTTATTGAAAAGGGAAAAATAGAGAGGGAGAAGGGAGAATACCTTACCTGTTGAGCAAGAAACTCTGACAGCCTCTGAAAGTCCATATATGGCTATTGCTAAGCCACTTAGATATGACTCTCCTTTGAACAAGCCAACACCCAGGACTGGTGTGCCCTACTTTTTCCCTGAGAATCTCTATTAACCATTATGCTGAAGGGTTTTTGTTTATTTGTTTGTTTGTTTGTTTGTTTTGGTTTTGTTTTTTTTTTTTTTATGTGCATTGGGATGAAGGTGTCAGATCAGACAGTTGTGAGCTGCCATGTGGGTGCTGGGAACTGAACCCAGGTCCTTTGGAAGAGCAGACAGTGCTCTTAACCACTGAGCTATCTCTCCAGCCCCTATGCTGAAGTTTTTGTTGCTCTCTTCCTGATAAATTCTGACTCTACTTCCATCTGGCGCATCCTGAAATTCTTTTTTGTTTTGGTTTGGTTTGGGTTTTTTTGAGACAGGGATTCTCTGTGTAGCCTTGGCTGTCCTGGACTTGCCTTGTAGACTAGGCTGGCCTCAAACTCACAGAAATCCACCGCTCTGCCCTCCCCAGTGTTGAGACTACAGGACAGGTGTGAGCCACTGCGCCTGGCTTTGCTTGTTTGTTTGTTTGTTTTTTGAGATAGGTTTTTCTGTGTAAACAAAATCCTGGTTGTCCTGGACTCGATTTGAAGACCAGGATGGCCTCGACTCTGACTCTGGAGTGTTGGGATTAAAGGCACACACAGCCATGCCTGGCTCATCCTGAAATCATCATCTGTGGCAAAGCAACGATCTAGCGTTACTCGCTGGAGATCCTTAAAGGTTGAGGAGACACTTCAGATTTCTGGGGACCACATGAGCTGTGTCTTTTGCTGCAACTGTGTCTTGCTGATGACAAGTCCACTATACTCCAAGCCTTCAGCAGCCAAGCATGTAGGACAGGGCCCACACAGGAGGCCCAGTGAGAACACTCTGTGTTCCAGGGAGTTTATAGCTCTCAGCCATTTGTAAAAGCCCTGTGGCCTTTGTGTGTTATGACAGTGGCTGTCATGGTGGAGCAGGGCATGGAACCCTAGGGACTTGGGAAATTCGTGTGATAGTTTGGCATGTGGAAAGCTGAAAGCACACTCTAAGGGAACAGTTTAGCAAGGCATTGACAGAGATGGAGCATAGAAAAATCAAAAGTATGGTTTAACTGAGAAATAACTATTTTCTATGAAAAATAATAACTTCTCCTGAGGCTCATGCCAAGATTTATTGGTCCAAGTAGTAATGTGGGATCAGAATGAGGGCAGGTACAGCCTGAGACCTTGGAGGGAGGAACCTTGGATTGAAGCCTCACCAAGGTCAATATGTCTGAATGCCGGTGTTCTGTTTGCACACATGCTGGGCAGATAAAACGTGTCAGGCACTTTCTGTGGATATACTTCCTCTCCGCCCACAGGAGTAATTTCAAGGCTTGGCTCCTGCAGCTACAGCCGTCTTCAGAAAGCCTGGCTGCTTCTCATTAGTTTCCCATCACCAGCTTCCTTTCAAGGACACTGTGCCAAGGCTAAAGCATGCTGCACCTGCTTTATACCCAGGGAAGGTAGGTCTGGGAGATTCTGGCTGTAGTGTGTGTGTGTGTGTAGCCCTAATGTGCCCAGATCTCAGCACCAACCCCCATGAAACTAGACTGGGCAGGCGGTAAGGGGGTGCTGTGGAATTTGAGGCATATTTTCAAGGTTTTGATGGGGGAGATTTATTGCCATACCAAACATGTATATGTAAAATGTGTAATTTTTCTCAGTCTCACAAGCCCAAAGGAGTTATCAATAAATAGAAAAGAAAAGTAAAAAATAAATTACAGACTAATTCATTCCAAAACCAGAGGATAACCAATAGGAAAGCCATAGGTCAGAGATGTGTCTTGAAGTTATATACACGGAAGAGTGCATATTCCCTGACTGGGCCAAACCTCTTCTGTGCTCTGGGGCCAGTTGGAAAACTTGATGCAGGATAGATGGGAAAGATGAAGTATGCAGTGTAGAGATGAAAGAGAAAGCGAAGCCAAGGGGCTCTTTACTGTGGAGAAAGCTGGGACTAGAGACTTGATGGCTGTGAGGAACAGGCAGATAGGAGGAGGCTGTGGTGAGTTCCTAGGCTGGCTGACACCAAGGGCCATGTCTCGCTTAGTACATGGTCCTGCTGCAGCTGGGGTCTGCATCAAGGTCTGTGGCCCAAGCTACCACCAAAGGCCAAGGGGATGTCCATAGTCTGGGATGCTGCTGGAGACCATGTGGATGTCTGAGGGCCATGCTGCTGCAGGGGCACATGCTGATCTGAGTGGCCTGTATGCCACCTGATGTCCTGGGGACATCTAGGCCCATGCTGCTGCTGGGGGCCATGTCTGGGTCTGTGGGCCTATGGCAGCCAGGGTCTGTGCTGATGTCCCAAGCCTGTGTCACCACCAAAGGCAATGCAGATGACACTGGTCTGTACTGTGGCCTGAGGCACTGTGCTGAGATGGCAGGCCCTGACCCCCATGGGCTACCACACTAGGGAGAGCTGGACATCCCTCACCTGGACAGCACAGTAGAACTGACTCTGATGGTGGGGCGGGGGGTGGGGAGTGGAGGGTATTGGGGAAACCAGTGCTGAGGGTGTTATCAGTTAGAGAGCTGGCCCCTTCCCTTGTCTGCCATGAGGTGTCATGGAAGAGAAATGCTCCTCTCCCTCCTTACCCCTTGCTTCTTGATATAGGTGGGTGAGCTGCCACCGCCTCCAGGTCATGAGAATGGGCTCTGCCCCTCACCAGTTGCAGCACTCAGGAGAGTAGGCCCTGCACCTCACCTGGACAGCTCAGTAGAATTGGCTCTGGTGGCAATGGCACAAATGAAACAGCCCCAAGACCAGGAGAGCTGCCCCTCTGCCCCTTGCCAGCTGCAGCATTGGGTGAGCTAGCCAGAGCAGTGCTGGAAAGCTCGCCCTGGTGGTGTTGGCTCAAGAGGCTGGCAGGCTGACCAACTCAGCTACCTCTCAGGCCCAGATTCAGGACTTTGATTTGCCCCACTCCAACATCTATCCCATCTATAATCTATTGGAGCTTGTGAAAGGGCTAGTCCTGTGGACCCAAAGCTTCAAGACATCCATGACACAGGACAATAAACAAGAATCCTCATGAGCATCCAATATTGACAGAGTAGCAGAAACCAGCGGCTTCAATCAATACTGTGAGGGAGAATCTGGTATATACAAAAATATAAAAAAGGAAAAGAAGAAAAATTTCTGAAGATAACTTCTTAATATTTTAGGCCATTTATTTAAGTGTTTTTAATTTTTAAAAACAGATTATAAAACAAAATTATGCATATTACTTGGCTACCACATGAAGTTTTAAACTGCTTTTTTTGTTGTTGTTTTGGTTTTTTGGGGGTGGAGTATTGTTATTTTGTTTTGTTTTGTTTTGTTTTTTTTGTTTTTCGAGACAGGGTTTTTCTGTGTAGCCTTGGCTATCCTGGACTTGCTTTGTAGACCAGGCTGACCTCAAACTCACAGAGATCCACCTGCCTGTGCCTTACCAAGTGCTGGGATTACAGGCGTGCACCACCATGCCTGGTCTCAAATGCTTTGATGTGAGCGGTTTCCCGTGATCACTGAACTGAACATCTTTGTGACCCTGCCTTTCCGTGGAGCGATGTCATCGGCACAGATTATTCATAAGCATAGTTTTGTTTGGTTGTTTTAGTTGCTTTGTTTTTTGTTTTTCCGAGACAGGGTTTCTCTGTTTAGGTTTTTCGCTATCCTGGAACTTGCTCTGTAGACCAGGCCGGCCTCCAACTCAGATATCTGCCTGCCTCTGCCTCCCAGTGCTGGGATCAAAGGTGTGTACCACTACCACCTGGCTACAAGCATAGTTTTTAATGATTAAAATAAGACATGAGAAAAACAGAAAGAAGGGAATGGGGGAGGGAGAAAGAGCAGGCTGGAGGATGACTGCAGTCAAAGTACATGCTGCATTGGGAAACAATGTCTTTATGAGACCTAGCAAGGTGAATAGTGGATATGCATCAACAAACAGAGAATGGATGCTATTAGATACACACACCCATTATGTACAAGCATGCACACTGTACATACCCATGTGCACACACATGATTTAGGACACAGAAAGCAACCTCTGGGAGTTCCAACCGTATATGTGAGCCTGATGCCATGATTCAGAAGAGAGATTTGAAAGCTGCTTCCTCCGAAAAGACTGACTATCTGGATTTGTGTAAAAGCCACTTCCTTTCGAGAGTGTAGCAGCTCATGTCTGTAATCCCAGTATTTGGGGGAATCTGAGGCAGAGAGATGTACATGAGTTCAAATTAACCTGACAGAGTCACTGCTTTAGTGGATGTGCTCACTCTTACACATGTCCCCAAATTGTTCTGTTCTCCTGGGGCACCGATCCCATCCCAGAGCCACCGATCCCATCCCAGAGCCACTCCGCTCTCTGTAGAGCTCCTCTGCCCTGGTGAGCCCAGCCCCAGCTGAGTGAGGTGCCGAGCATTGCAAGATGGTCTCGTTCTCACCATTAAGCAGGTGGCTTCTTCCCACACAAACCCTGTGTGGTTGGGTCAACAAGTCACTGGATGTACGTCCTGAGGGAAGACAGTATTCTTGTAAAGAATGGCCACTGCTTTCTTGTGCAAGAGCCACCTGTGTCACCTGCCCACACTTTCAATGATCACTGTGGTCATTCTGTCCTAGAAAGCCCCCAGGGAATAAAGGAGATATTCTGGGCCTTGGTATAATCAGCCAGGCCTACAAGGCACAAGATGTTTTCTTTGGCCCCCACTCACTGTGTTCCTGAGAAAATCAGTGTCCCAGCAAGCCCCATGAAAGAAAAAAAAAAATCACAGGACGAAGAAAGACTCCAAGCCCCTGAGGACTTGCTTGTCAGGAGTGACCAATTATCTGCCCTTTATCTCCACAGGATGAACAAATGTCCCTCAGCCACAAGTAATCTGTTGGAAACAGACATAGCAAGATCTAGATTGGACTGAAGAGATATTTCAGTTGGTAAAGCACTTGCCTTGCAAGTATGAGGACCTCTAAAGTCACTTCCTAAACCTATATAAAAAATCACAAAAATCAAAACTCGAGACAGATGGCTCAGCTGGTAAAGGCACTTGTCATGCAAGCCGCACTGCAAAAGGAGCCCACTGCAAAAGGAAAGAGCCAATTCCCAAAAGTCATCCTCTAACCTCCACACAAGGACCATGGCATGCGCGCGCGCGCACGCGCGCGCGCACACACACACACACACACACACACACACACACACACACACTACTTTTAAAAGTCAAGTGCTAGAACAGGCAGTGGTGATGCATGCCTTTAATCCCAGCATTTAAGAGTGGATTTCTGAGCAAGTGGATCTCAGAGCTGGAGGCCAGCCTGGTCTACAGAGTAAGTTTTAGAACAGCCAGGGCTACACAGAGGGACCCTGTCTCAAAAAAAAAAAAAAAAAGACAAAACAATAAAATTAAGAGCTAGAGAGATGACTTAGTGATTAAGAGTGTTTCTTGTTCTTGCAGAAGACCTAAGTTCAGTTCCCAGTACCTATAATCAAGAGGCTCACAACTGTCTGCAACTCTAGCTCCAGGAGATCTGACACCCTCTTTGGGGCTCCAAGGGCACCTGCACACATGTTGCAGATTCTCTCTCTCTCTCTCTCTCTCACACACACACACACACACATACACACATGCACACACACACAAGGCAGGTGAACACTAGGCATTTGCACACTAAGAAAAGCCCAAGACATCTCTTTAGCGTACTCTGATCACTTTTTCCCTGGTGGGTTATTACTCTCCCCCCCCCCCAACACTACTTTTCTCCCTTTGGCCTCACTGATTCCGATACTACCTCATTCTAGCTGGAGCTACTGACCTCCTGGACTTCCCTTGGTCAGCCATTCGACACCATCCTACATAGCCTTTAATGTGCATGCCTCAGTCACTGAGGTTTGGACCCTTTCAGAACCTGACAGAAGCTGTGGGAAATTCAGGGAATTACTCTGCCCATGGAGAGGCAGTCTATTCAGTATGAGAGACTCTCACCCATGACTACTGACTGTTTCAGATAACTGTCCTGCCAGCCAGATGTGGTGTGACAGACAACCCACAATGGGAAGCCCAGGTCCCTCAAATCAGGTTCTTGTGGAGAGAGACAGACAGACAGACAGACTGAGAAAGGGAGAGAGAGAGAGAGAGAGAGAGAGAGAGACAGAGACACAGACAGAGGCAGAGAGAGAGTGCATGTCATAAGTCTATGAGCTATCATTTTTCAGAGTACATGCCTAGGTGCTGTCTCCAGGGACCAGTAATGACAATGCAGCCAGAGAGTCACACAAGATCCTCCTGCTGAGATGGGTGGACACCACAGCCACTGGCCCAACATCTTTTGTCCCTATAAGATCAGCATAGGCACCTTCAGAGACATGATCAAAAGCCCAGTCTCTCCTAGGGAGCTGCTGTCTGGTCAACAAATCCTGGAGCTTGGGCTGGTCCTCTGTCCAGTAGCTCTGGCCTCCCTTCTCTTTCTCACTAGTGTGCTTGAGGGACTCAGCCTGGCCACTGGGTACCAAGGGCTCCCGGCCTGGCGGTGGGCCTTTAGCAGGTGCAGGCCAGGGGGGTGAGGATGTGCCTACCCTTCCGTCTAAGAGGTGTTCTGTACCCTGGAGACACTGCACCACTTCCCGGGGTCCACTTCGATTGTCTGAGGCCTCAAGATCCTCTCTGGCTACACAAGCTACTGGGGATAGACTCAAGGATTGAACTGACAGTCTTGGGGACCATCCAGGGGCACTGACTCCCCAATTACTCAAGGGAGATTTTAAACTTGAGCCATCTAAACTTCCATCTTGTTTAGATGCTTCCAAGAAGTTCCCTGACTCCTGTGGCCCCAGAGCCTCAGATAAAGAGGACACGTCCCCAGCAGTAATGGACGTATCTTCTCCTAGGGTGCCCAGTAAGTCACCTGGAAACATGGCCTCCTCAGGTGGGGAAGGGAAGTCTTCTGAGCTGGGCTCATTGATGTCACTCTTTGCTTGGGGGGTGGGAGGTGGTGGAGGGAGGTGAGTGTCCCTGTGGATGGAGGATGGAAGGTCCCCACTTCCATAAGACAGCTCCTCATCCACAGGAGACAGTATTTCACTCAAGAAGCCATCTACACATGAGGGACTGGCTACCTCTGTGACAAGGGGGGCTCCATCCTCAGAAGGAGCCTGTAGGGTCGGGGGTCCCTTAGGATCAAGGGTCTTCCTCTGCATGCGTGGACTTGTATTTATATCCTGGGGCTCCTCCTGGCAGCCAGCTGAGGCCTCAGCAGCCATGTTTTCTTTACTGAGACCTGCCCTTTCAGAGGTGGACGTGCCCAAAGGAAAGGACAGTGACAAAGTTGAATCATTGGTAGAAGGTCTCTGGGGTGGGAACACTGTGAAGGTGGCCACAGGGGACACCTGCCTGGTTTCCCCTGTATTCAACGGATCAGTCAGGCTCCTACTGGTTCTGGAAGCTTCCCCCAAGCCCGGGAAGGGATGACTGGTATGGGGCCCTCTACTGCCTTCCAGGCCCAAGGAACCATTTTCAGGTAAGGAGCTCGCTGAGGCTGGCTCAACACAAGGACTAGGGTCTACAAGGTTATCCTCACTGTTCTCTTCCCAAATTTGGCTGGAGGACTCTGATAGCTCTGACCCTGATCTCGGAGAAGGAGCATGTGGAGGTAACAATGGCCAGCCTGCCAGAAGGAAGCTGGACTCTGGTTCTGAGCCTCCTGCCACAGCTGCCTCCTCAGAGAAGCCACTCAGGAGTCTGGCCCCACTGCCTTCCAGTCTGGGCAGGGTCACTTCACCTACATTCCCAGGAACCCTCTCCAGTTGAGAAGGGCCCTGGTGGAGGCCCCAGCGTGAAGGCAGGCCAGGCTCCTCCCAGGAAGCATGAGCAGAAAGCTCCCTAGGCGAACTGGGGTCTGCATGCATGCTATCTTCAGAGTCTAACTCAGACAGGGATGTGAAACTGTTAGAGAGCTGGACTAGGGTGGCCGTAGCTTTCTGAAACTCCAGAAGAGATGAACAGGAAAGGCTGCTTGTTGACCCCACTGAAGGGGTGAGGGATAAGGCTGGGACTCCTGAAGACCTTGAACTAGAAGCAGACTCAGAACACAGGTCCAAGATAGCAGCAGGCTGGGATGGAGGGCTGTCTAGATACCAGGCAGGCTGTGCCTCCTCTTCACAGGCCACAGGAGCTGCTGAGACAGATTGAATTAGGGGATGGATCTCAGTTGCCTCAGTCTACATGGCTGACTATGCCAGAAGCAAGAAAGCAAGGGTAGTTCCAAGAAAAGATGTTCCAACAGAAGATATTAAAAAGGGCAATGGTGGGGCTGACAAGATGGCTCAGAAGTGAAGAATACTGGCTGTTTTTTCAGAGGCCCTGAGTTCAATTCCCAGCAACCACATGGTGGCTCATAACCATCTATAATGAGATCTGCTGTCCTCTTCTGGCCTGCAGACATATATGCAGGCAGAACACTGTGTATATAACAAATACATCTTAAAAAAAAAAAAAAAGCCATGATGACTGATGCCTTTAATCCCAGCACTCAGGAGGTGGAGGTGAGCAGATCTCTGTGAATTCAAGGCCAGCCTGGTCTATAGAGTGAGTTCCAGGACAGCTAAAACTACACACAGAGAAGCCCTTTCTCAAAAAACCAAAAACTATATAATCAAAAGGGGAGGTGTGATGGGACTAGTGTGCTTAGTCTTTTGATAACCCCCAATTAAGTGCTCCAGCTCCTTCCCTACTTGTGGGTCACATATGCCTGTCCCTGAGTGTCTGGACTCAGCCTACAACATCTCAGCTGTTGCTATATCTGGTGGCTGGCTCTGCTTGGCTTGCTTTGAAGCTTTAGACTCAGCCTGCAGCCCTGGGGCGGCAGAGTCAGTAGAGTCCCCTATCCCACCGCAGGCAGTGCAGAGGACAGGGCACTATGCCTTCAGAAAACCCTCACTTAGATCCAAGAACTAGTCTTGGATAGCCTCTAGATGAAGACTCGACAGTCTCTGAGCTAGTCCCGGGGTGGGGTGGGGGTCCTGAAAGGAGCCTTACCTGGGGAAGCAGCCTCCTGCTCAGCTCCCGGGTGGGCCAAGGGGATGTTTGTGTTCTCCTGTGGACAGGCTTCTCCCCTGCAAGCACATGGTTCTGGTTGCTGGCTAAGGAGTCTTGCCTTCCAGCTGCCCTTGCCCCAGGGCGCTCACTCACTGACACCGCCTCCCTTGCCACACACTTAGGAGCAGCCTTGTCAGTCACCCACCACTGCAAGCAACTTTTGCCACACAGGACTACCTGGGACTCTGCCTTTGATGGGGGGTGGGGAGCATGACAGACTACAGATGACATCTGACCACAGGTCACCTTGATCAGATTACACTTCTAGACACCTGGATGGCCTAGCTGCACCTTAGCCCTTCACTGGGCAACAACTTTGATACCAAGAGGGAGTCAGACCCAGTAGGTGGCACACATCCAGGCCCAGTCCAGGATGGGGTGGGGGTGGGTCTGGGCATTGAGAGCTTCCAGGTACTGAGACTACCTCCATGCCTCAGTGCCTTACCCTACCCAGCTTCCACACCTGTGCTGCTCTGACTGCCAGTGTGCCTCTTCCTGGGGTTCCCCCTCAAGGCTTCTAGAAACATCCAGCCCTTGGTTTGTTGTGTTTTCAGCCACCTGTAGGAAACACATTAGAAAAGTAAAATGTCTACCAGGGATTCCTCCACCTTCTTTGCTAGGGATCAGACTATGATTCCAGAGACTGTTGCTAAGGAATAAAGATCACCCACCGAAGAGGGCCCCAAAGATCCCAACCACCAAACATCCCCTTTCACCATGGGAAGACTTTCTTTCTACCCAAGTGTTGAGTGCCAGGTGAGACCCATGGAACCTGCAGAATTGTATGAATACCCTCTGAGCCCTCATCCCACTACAGCCTCCTGTGATGTATGAGGCAACCCCTGGAGGCCACACGGTAGAGGAATCAGAACATGGCTGCTCTGATGAGATCACATCCAAAGACCTTCTAGGTCTGTGTGATCCAGATAGAATGCAGACAAGCTGGGCAGTGGTGGCATACACCTTTAATCCCAGGAGACAGAGGCAAGCAGATATCTGAGTTCAAGGCCAGCCTGGTATAGAGCAAGTTTCAGGTAAAGAAAAGTTTAGGTCCAGGCATGGTGGCACACACCTTTAATCCCAAACAATTAAGGTAATGTTAATTTGTAGAAGGAAGCACCCATGTTTGAAAGTGATGTCTAATTTAGTGGCAGAAAAAAAAAATGATGAATCGGAGAAAGATTTGACAGAATAGGATATTCCCAACTCTCAGGAGAAAAGAGAGGAAAGGGAAGCTACTTAAGGGAACAATACAAAGAATGAGGGGGAGAGGAGGCAGTTTTATTGGGAAAGTTTTGGAGACAGGTTGAGGAGAGAGCAAACTAGATACAGGTAGACAGAATGATCCAGAGAATGAGAAAGAGCCAGAAGATTAGAACAGATTCTTGGAGTTAGTCAGAAATCAAGCAGAGCAATTCAGACGTGGAGAGAAAAGCCAGACTGAATAAATCATCTGGGAGACGAGTTTGAGCCAAAACAACTAAGTAAACCAGTCAACAAGAGTTCAAAAAGAACAAGAAAGGGCAAGCTTATTCAGAATTAAGTCTCAGAAGCTGAAAACATTCTAGGCCTAGATTAGATTTGTATGGAGGCTAGAAACTTCCAGGACTAGGCCTAGGTTAGCAGACAGAAATAGTAAGCCTCCGAGATGACAATTACTTCAGGAGAATAAAAGATACTTTTATACCACACAGCAGGCCAATGTCCCCTTTAGCCTGAACACAGCACATGGCCAAACTCTGACTCACTCTGGCTTCCTGGGGACAAGGACCATCTCCATTTAGGGACTGCCCACACTGTCTATGCAGGCTCCAAGCACGGCTGTATGTAGTAGCCAAGGGCCTCTCCACTGCCCCAGCTGCACTGGGTTTAGCGTGCAGGTCTCCTGTGGGACAAACAGACTGTAAATGCTGGCAGGTGTAGAGGTAGCAAGGCTAGGGAGTGACTCCCAGGAAAAAAAAAAATCTGAAAATTCAAAATGGATGCAAGACTTCATTGTGATACTTAATATGAAGACCTAAAAGATGTGATGTGCTTCCCAAGGATCCTGTTGGACACTTAGAGATATGAAGTCCCAGGAAAAAAAGAGCATATGGAAAAATAATTTTAAATTTATAGCCCTGTTGTCGAGCATGGCGGTACACATCTTTTAACAGTAGGTAACACCTGGGAGGCAGAGGCAAGCGAATCACCTATTTACATAGTGAGACTCTGCCTCAGAAAACAAACAAAACCATATAGCCTTCTTCTCCTCCTTTGGGGAATCTCCCACAAGTGGCTGAACCCTTGCCAGAGCTGTCCCTTTCCCTGTGTCAGCACTGTGCTGAGGTCCTCTAGCACAAGGCAGAGCATTGGGCACTCAGGCAAGGGTAGGCCCTGGTCATGGCAGGATCTTTCCGAGGCAAGCTGAAAGACCAGCCAAGAGGGCTCAAAGCAGGACACAGCTGAACCTCCCCAGGTTATACCTCCACATTCCTGGACCCAAGTCCTGTCTGGCCCCTGGTAGACTGTTGGGACCCTGAGGCCCAGGGCCACTGGCCTATGAGACCAGAGCTATGCTATTTAAAGCTCTTATCTCGGCAGTGGGCTTCTCTAGTGGCCACGCTGGGGTGTTCCCGAGAACCTTGCCGGTGCTGTCTTCTGACTGGGAGGCAGCTAGCACTGGGCCAGACGGGCACATCCTGCACCATCACTAACAAACTCCACCATCACGTTCCAGGTGTTTTAGTTCTTGGCCCCAGTCTCTTCATCTGCTGGTGGGTAATAAGTGTGCCCACCTCAAGTGACAAGGGTCCCTGCGAGTGGTGTGGGGTAGGCACTGGCTGGCTCTAGCATATGGCACCTAGTGGCCACACAGGGCAGAAGAGACCAACATCAGTGGTGAGGAGCATCAGGCTGAACAAATGTCCACAAAGCCCTGAACAATGGTCAACAGAGGTATGACTCTAGCAGAAGAGGAGGTCATAGGAAGGTCCTGCTCACCATTACCTTTGGACCCCTAGAGAATTCAGTTTGTCCTATCTCCCTTGGATAATCCTAATGCACTGGGAAGATCTAGCTTCTTCCTATCCTAGGTGACTTGGAATTCACTCTTCCAGGCTCCAGATGCAAAGAGTGCCTTGGTCCAGCACAATCTGGCAACATTTGGCATCCTCCTGTGTCTAAGGGTAGGTGGTGAGCAGGGGGTGGAGTGGTAAAGCTTCTGAACCCAGGGCTGGTACCCAGGGGTGGGGAATGCAGAGGTGGCATCAATTCTCTGAGAGGCAGCCATGCCATGCAATCCTTCATTGTCAGCCCCACGGCAACCCTCAGAGGGGGAAGCGGACTCTGCTGCTCTCTGCCGATCATGAGTTCTGCCCTCAGAAAGGCCTCAGGGACAAGTGCATTGTTCAGAAAGTGAACACTTTGATATGTATAAAAACTGTAGTGTCAGATAATGAGGGTGCATCTGGTGATGCTGACTTCTAAGCTCTTGGAAACATCTAGATAAAACCAAGCTGCAGTTGAAACAACCAGACCAAGTATTTTCTTTAATGTCCCCAGAGGAGCAGCCAAATCATCTCCCATCAATGGAGTCGGCCAGTCTTCTAGCCATGGAGAAGTCTGCAGTCATGGCAGGCGGATATGAGCATCTGTCCTCTTCAACTTTCCCCAGGAACTTCCCTGTCCTTGTTTGAGCACTGGACAACAGCCCTGCACAGGGTCCACTGGATGTGGGGGAAGCTCCTGCTAAGATCCACACAGGGGTGGCCCACAGAGTGGTTCTGGAGGCCTTACCTGGAAGAGCCAGCTCCTTGGTCTCCTGTGGCATCAGCTGAGAGGCTGAACTGCCATCTTCCTTAATGGCCTGTGTCAACAAGATAGAAGGAGAGACATATCAAAAGGCGCAGGAGCTATCTGGGAAAGAACTCCAAGGACAAGGATGATGAGGGGCCACCAGCACCACAGGGGCTAGCACTTGGCCACCCAGGAGTCCCAACCAAGATCAAGCCATAGACTGGCAGAATGGCAGGGATGTTCCCCAAACAGGCATGGCTGGGGAGAGGAACTTCCTAATGGTTGCATACAGGAAAGGCTGGTTTTTTCTGATGCTTAGGGTCCAGGGGGTTCAAGTCCAGCAGACCAGGGAGAGATACACAAAGCTGTTCTCCAGGTCCTGAAAAACATAATTGAACCAAGAAAATGGAATCCCTTCATCCCAGGGAAGATCATGCTCAATCTAATCGTCACATCTGGTAGCAGGAGGACATGGCCAGGCCTTGCTTCTCTGACAGGTTTGTTCTGACCTGCTTGTGGACAGCCGCAGGCCTGCACTAGGTGGCAGAGCAGATTATCTCTGAGCAGCTCTACCTGCCAAGAGCTTGTAGCAGGGGAGCCTGTCTGAGTAGCTCCCCTGTGGCACCCCATGTTCTGTTGTCTCAGGTGTTGCTAGGGGAAGGAAGGCCTCCCGTGGGCCAGCCCAATGGGTGGTGCACCCTACAACTTAAGAGTACGCAGGGAGGCCTGGGTGGTCCAGGTCACACACCGGCCTGAGGGCCTGGTATGGAGGAATGTCTCACCCTAAGCTTAATGCTGCCCCCACAGAAGGTTGGGCCAGATTGTCTTTCTTGGCTGGTCATTGCCAATGCCCTGAACTACCTTGGCTGTCATGTCCACTCTCCATGGGTGGGTCTCCAGTCCCAGATGTGTCGTTTGCCCACTTGACCCTGTGAGTATGCAGGTGCTGATCTGCTACTGAAGTTATCTGGAGAGGTTTCACTTCCTTCTGCTCAGGGGGAAGGCTGCAGGACAATGCACAGTAGAACACATGTGACTGCACACCCAGCTGCTCCACCCAAGGAACCCAGCCCTGGCCACCACACTCGGCCCTTGGCCCTAAACCTCCTTGAACCACATCCGGGGGCAGTTCTGGCCAGGGTCCTGGTCTCTCTTCACTCAGCAGCTTCCCAAGCGGGACCTGTACCTCAGATGGAGCAGCTGCTCTGGGGCATGGGTGGGGGCCTAGGAGCCTCTGATCCTTCACCTTGTTGCCCAGGCCCAACATGTGAATACCAGCCAGTCTGACTCTTAGAACTCTGGGGAAACTCTAGAGGTTCAAAAGGAAGGACTCTGAAGCACTTCAGAGCCTAGCACTTTCACCAGCACCAAGTGCTAAAGAACAGATATGGCCAGAACAGACATGCTATCTTGACCCAGCCTGCACCCTGCTGACAGACACAGAGAGGCCACCATAGAGCGACTGTCCTTGCCAAGGCTGGTGAGAGCTCTCTCTTTCAGGCCAGCCTGAGGCAGGTGCTTCATAGAGGTAGCTAATTCAGTACCCACCTCCACCCTCAAGGTGGAGGGAGGGAGCCCAGGAACTAAGGGCAAGGTGGTAATAGTCTCCCCAGAGCTGGCAAATGGGTGCCTGAGGAAGAAGAGACTGCCAAGGTGAGTGCCACCTCCAGATCGCACTGACCCTACAGTGCTTCCTGGCAGGGTGGAACACTATATGTCTAGCATGAGGAAGCCAAGAAGGTCCTGATGAAAAAAGCCATGCTGCTCCTTCCTGTGGTCAAAGGACACTCTTCACACCCCTCCAAGCACAGGCAGGGGCCTCACCATGGCCTTGATGGCCAGGCTTCAGAGAGAATTCACCTACTGCTGGCCACAGAACAGCCCTATAGTAGTCCTAGAGGCTGGATGGTCACATACATGCTGCCTGCTACCCTAAGCCAGGCTGTTGTGCTCTGTCTCTCCACACCCCACAGAAGTGCTCTAGGAAGCTCCTCATGCCCACAGCCCTGTCAACCCCAGAGCCAGTAAGTGTGGCTGCTGTCTGCTCTTCCCTGGAGCTCAGGGCAGCTCTGGTCCTTCCCTGACCTTGTTGGGATCAGCTGAGTGAAATAGAACCACACAATAAAGGCAAATACATGAATGGCTTGTCAGTGGCAAGTACCAGGGCAAGCTCCCCTCACTCCAACCCTGACCCACTCACTGTGCAACTTCCAAGCTCTCAGAGATTTCCTGGAGGTAGTGGCTTTGGGGGCTTCCAGGCCTGTGTTCCTTCATTTTATGACTTGCCTCAGAGACCCCCTTCCAAGCAGCCTTGACATCGGGGCTGCAACTCTAGGAAAAACAGCACAGGGCAAGCCTGGTGTGGCCACATTCAGCTAGTCCCCTCTTCAGAAAAGCAGAAAGCAGTGGCCACTGCAGGATAGCCTCAGCATTGTAGATGACACACTCTCACAGGAGTGGATACCAGCTGGAACAAGCCATCCTGCCCTTATCAGGCCTATACCCCTACTAACAGGTCTGCCAAAGACAGAGCCAGCGTTTCTGCCCAAACCTGCGCAGAAGCATAGAGAACTCTAGTCAGGCATCTGAGTCCCCTCTCCTGACGACTAGCCTATCGCAGGTACTGCAGAGAGAAGGTCATCCAATTCTTCTCCCTACCCTTAAGGTGAGACCACTGTCCTCCTGCTTACAGAATTATGGGGGCACAGAGCGCCTGAGGTTGACCTCACCCTCACCTATTACATCCTTTCATGCACTCAGCTCTCTGTAGCATGCCACTCAGCTCCACTGACACAGTAGATGTCTTTTGGTTTTGTGTTTGTTTTTTCAAGATGTGGTTTCTCTGTGTACCCCTGGCTGTCCTGGAACTCACTCTGTAGACCATCCTGGCCTTGAACTCGGAGATCTGCCTCCTTCTGCTTCCTGGAATTTTGCCTGAGTGGCAGGCTTCTCAGACTGCTACTCTGTTACTATATGATAGCCCGGGGCCTTCTCCAACTAGACCCTTACTCCCCCTTCCCTCTGCTGGGTTCTCCCGTAGGTCCTTTCTTCCACTTTGGTCTATAATAACTGCCATAGCTTGGAAGTCTGGCTCTTCCCCCAGAATACCTCTGTTGGAGCCCCAGCAGGTCACCTCCCTCTGTACAATCACCTAGCCCCTTGCCACCAGCAGTGACAGAGGTGAAGATGCTGGGATGCCCACCTGCAGCAGCTGGGTTCTGTCCTGGAGCTCCTGCTGCAGGTAGGCCACAGACTGCTGCACATTGAGAACAGACTGCTGATGGTGCAGGAGCTGCTTCCTGCCACGGTGCAGGGACAAGTACACCTTCTTCAGGTACTGGATGTCCCTCTGAGGTTCCAGAGGAGAAAATGCCAGTTAGGACACCGGGGCAGGAAGGGGACATCTGGGGGCCTCTGCATCTCGTGCTGCCTGGCCTCCTCTCCCCTCCACAGGCCCTCTGCTCAGCCCCTTAGCTATTGCTTTCCTCTGAGTTTGGTCAGGAGGTAGCATCCAAAGGCAGGAGGGAGGTGGGGTACTTATGCACCAAATGACTCCCACATGGAGCAGCCACAGCTCATGCTCTCTCCTCTCCTTCCTGCTCTCTCTCTCCAGGTATTGGCTACTGCCCTGCCTCTGTAACATCCCTTTATTATAAAAGCCTCCCAAAACCAGGAAAACAGACACTGGTGGCTGTTCAGTGTGGACCTGAAGCCCCCACAGGCCAAGCTACTTCTTGCAGGCCACAACTAGCAGGAGTCTAAGACCGATTTAGACCCAGCAATGTAAGGCCGTGTGCCACCCTAGATTTGCAGTCCTCTGGCCTATTCCAGGCAGCATATGGCTCTAAGCATCATTGAAGGATGGCAAGAGTTCAAGGATGTACTGTGGCACAGGGGTATTCTGGGTCCTCCACTGGGAGAGCTGAAGGGTCACTTCTGTGTGACCATTCCTCACTCATGCCTACCCATTCCTTCTCAAGTCTGCCGAAGACTTGTTGTTGCTTTTCCCACAGAGTGGCCTGTGCTGCTTCATGCCCCACATTACCCAAGCACCTAGGGGAGGGAAAAAGCCAAAGGCAACCTTGAGAGTCTGTTCAGAGAGAGGGAGAGCCACTAACCAAGACATTCCCCCAAAGAGCAGACACCAGATTCTGGGCCTGGGGGCCTAGCCAGGGCTGTCACTCTTCCCTCCCACCATGTTTATTATTGTCTCATTGCCTAGGGGATGAAGGCCTTAAGATGACAGAATATCCTTCCTGGAGACCACATCCAGGCGAGGGGTTCTCTGCTGACTCCAAGGCCTATTCCACCCTCAGCATATCATGCCCAGCATGCACTGGATTGTGAATAGAGGAGCATTCTGAAGTTAGCCCCAACAAGGCCAACAGGTTTCAATATGTTTTGGAAATCCCATGTCAAAGAAGAGTCTCTCAGTGTTCATAATGGCGAAAAGTTGGACACACACTAAAGGTCTTAGCTGGGGACAGGCCAAGGGAATGCTAACATTCTGCACTACTCTTGTATTGCAGTTAATGTGGTGACATGAGGCCTAAGACCTTATCAACACTATGGGACACACTGGAAATGTTACAGATGTCACAGAGAGGGACAACAGCAGTTTTTTATTTTAGTTTTGTTTGGGACACTTTACTATCTTACATAACTTTCAGTCTATCACTGTCTGGATCATTACAGCCATCCTTCTCTAAGGATGGCTGTGTCCAGGTGTGGTGAGAGTGGGGGACCAGAGCCAGTCACAAGCATGCACTCACCCCATCTGATGCTCCAGGAAGGCCAGCTCTGCACAGGTCTTTTCCTCCAGCGCCAGCTCACGCAGTCGTAGCGCTGCAGCCTGGTGCTGTGAATGCAACTCTTCATCTCTCAGATTCTGCTCTAGCATTGCGATAGTGAAATGGTGCAAGGTTCTGGACCTTTCGGTTCCTGGCTCTGGTCTCTCTATGCTCCACTGCAGAGAAGCAGAGCAACTAAGTCTTGTCACTGCTAGGACTTCTCAAAGGCCAGGAGCAGATACTGGCTCTCAGGAAGAAGCCACAGGCTCCAAGAAGTCCTCCTGAATATCCAGCAGTCTTTTTTGGCAAGGCACCCCCTTCCTGATTGTAAGTTCAAAAGGGCAGGCAGGGTCCTTCTCATCCTGGCCTCATGCTCACCCCAAGCTAGGCAGGATATATGTTTATGCTCTGCAGAGTTTTAGCAAAGCAGGCTGGGCTGTGCAAAGCCCTGCCCAAGGTATCCTTCTGTCATGCAGGCCCCTCAGATGTCACCCAGAGTAGGAGGAGCAGTTGGGGTGGCTACCAGCTGCAAGGATGGATGATTGGATGGCAGGGTGGCCCTCCCAAGACCAGGGCCAGTGGGGACCCACTACCTATCACCAGTGTCACGTTGCCTCAAAATTGTCCCCTAGTCTTTGTACCTGGTAGGTAGAGCTGTCTGAAGAGTGGAACTTGGCTACAGCCAGCTGGGAGGAGGCTAGGTCCTGCTGCATCGGCTCTGAGAGAGAAAGCAGGCCTTGGTTGGGTCCTAAGAGAACCAAGTAGCATGCACTTAGGGGCCTTTCCTACAGGAGGGCCAGATAAACAAAGCATGTCTGGGGGAAAAAAGGCTCTACCTCTGACACAGAGCTTCACACTGGATCTTGAGGCAATGCTGGAAGGGACTGGTGGCCTTGTAAGCTGAGGCTTTGACATGAGACCTGCAGGAGCAGACCAAACACAATTGTACTGGGGTAACAGCCCTTGCTCTCACAGAAGAAGACACTGAGGCCAGAAGGGAAGGATGTCTAGAGTCTAGCACCAAGCAGGGCAGGGGCACTGCAGAGCCCAGACTTCTTGCTCACACAGCTCTCTTGCTACTGACCCATGTCAGCCACCTTGCTATGGTGGGTTTCATGGAAAAGGCTTTTTAATTAAAAATAATTAAAGGATATTTTTGACATCCCACCAAGAAAGGGCAAGTGGAACTGGACTTATCATATTTGAAAATGTGTTTTATACAGACATATTTACATACATTCTCACACCTATCAAAGAGCAATTTTGAGATAGTTGATATCAACAGCCCAGCACAGTGCTCAGAGACAGAAACAAAGGAAATAAGAGATCAACAATGGCAACATCTCAAGAGAGCTAGGCGATGGTACTATGTTTTAAGAAAATCATGGTGCATAGAAACAAAAATATCTTAGACCAAGGTAACACTCACAGCACCCAGCAGCAAGCAGAGCGGAGAGTCAGGGACTAAAATCAGCCCAGAGATGGGTGTTACAAGTTTTTCATAACTGGCAAGGTGGCTCCACAGATAAAGATGCTTGCTACCAAGCCTGACTACCTGTGTTTAATCCCCAGGACCGATCGGGTGGAAAGAGAGAACCAATTTCTGCTAGAGGTGTCATGTTACAGAGGTCCCTTGATGAATGAATGAATGAAGAAGTGTAAATAGAAAAGAAGCTTTCATAATGGTATTCCTATGTTTAAAAGGGAAAGTACTCTTTGCTGAAGAGAGGGCTCAGTGGTTCAGAGCACCAGCTGCTCTTCTGGAAGACTTGGGTTGGATTCCCAGCATCTACATGGCAGCTTGTAACAGTCTGTAAGTCCTGTTCCAGGAGATCTGATGCTTTCTTTTGGCCTCTGTAGATACCAGATAATGTTCACAGTGGTACAGACATATATATGTAGGCAAAATACCCATATACATAAAATAATAAAAATGAAAATGGAAGGGTTAGTACAACTAAGGAGGACATAAGGAGAGATCTGAATAGAACTTTCAGAAATGAACATGTAAAACACTTCAGATGAAAACCACAATGATTAATAGAAGATTATACACTGCTGAAAAAAGAACTCACAGGATCAAGTGGCCTAACATACACACAATTAAAATTTTTGCAGAAAAAGAGAGATAAGGAAGATAGAGAAGGTATTTGTAAAAATAAGACCTGGGAGTTTTCCAATCTGAAGAAATCGATAAATCCATAGGTGAAAGACTCTTAACAGACCCCAGCACATGAACATAAAGCAAACTTGAGGGTGTCATTACAAATGTCATGAAAAACAGAAAAGCAGCCAGAGCAGACAGACACAGTGGCTACAAATGAATTAAGGAATGATGGAGTGGGTTCCTTGCACTTGGAGCAAAGTAAGCAAGAAGACACTATGGGTGGAGCTGTGACTCCTGGGAATGAGACTGTAGGAAGGCTGGGGTGAACCCTAGCCCTGTAACACACACACACACACACACACACACACACACACACACACACACACACACACTAAAAAAAAAAAAAAAAGCCTACCCAGACCCAGGCATGGCATCCATGCCTTTAATTCTAGCACTCAGGAATCAGAAGCAGGCAGATATCTGCGAGTTGAAGGCCCAGCCTGGTCTACATAGTGAGGTCTAGGGTACCCTATTTTTAAAAAAATTAAAAATATTAAAGTCCACCCAAGTATTATGTCCAGGATAGAATATATAAGAAACAAACAAACAAACAAAAAATGGAATGAAGATGTTCCTGAACATATAATCAGTTTTTATTTTGTTTTTGTTAGATGTGTAGATGTGTGTGTCAGAAATCAGGGGAAGGACATGGGAAAGATGTCAGCCAGAAGTACAGATCTTCCCACAGAAACAGGGAGTGTCCAAATAGTGGCTGGGAGCTGCTTACATTCTCACTCTAAGCCTGTGTATAATTTGAAACTAATAAAAGAGAATCATTTGGGCTGGAGAGATGGCTCAGAGGTTAAGAGCACTGTCTGCTCTTCCAAAGGTCCTGAGTTCAATTCCCAGCAACCATATGGTGGCTCACAAACATCTATAATAAGATCTAGTGCCCTCTTCTGACATGCAAATGTACACACAAATAGAGCACTCATATGTAAAATAAAGAAATCTTTAAAAAAAAAAAAAGAAAGAAAGAAAGAAAAAGAAATAAAGGCAAAAAAAAAAAAAGAGAATCATTTGTCAGGAAAAAAAATCAATGCATGATGGGCTTAGAAACATTTTTAAGATTCACTTTTAAATGTATTTTTATTATTTTAAATTATGTGTCTGGGTGTGTGCTGTGTGGGAATGTCCACACGTGTGCAGGTGGAGGCCAGAGGAGTCAGATGCTCCAGAACTGGCTATAGGTGGTTGTGAGTCACTCAGTGTAGGTGCTGTCCTCTGCAAGTAAAGCAAGTGCTCTTAACCATTGAGCTTTTTCTTCAGCCCCTCCCCCCACTGAAACATATTTTAATGCACTAGCATAAATATAGTACTACCTTATTAGTATAAAATTCTATGAGTGTTTTGTGCTGTAGATAAAAGAGAAATCACCTGTACCCTAACACACCCACTAAACTGTGGAGCTATAGTTTATCATAATTCAACAACAAAGATGGAATCATTCAAAACTTTAATCTTGGCTGGGGAATCTCAGCTTCCAGAGGAGGGAGTAGAAGGGCTGTTATGAGTTAGAGGTCAGCCAGGGTACATAGCTCTAAGCCAAACTGGGTTACAGAATGAGAGCCTGTATTAACAAACCAAATCCAAATTTAACTCAAAATGAGGCAGATAAAATGAGGAAAGAGGAAATGAAAGAGGAAGAGAGAATGAAAGATAACAGGGCATGGTGGCACACACCTGTAGTTCCAGCACTCAGGAGGTAGAGGCAGGCAGATCTCTGTGAGTTCAAAGCCAGCCTGGTCTATAAAGCAAGTCCAGGATAGCCAAGGCTACACACACACACACACACACACACACACACACACACAAACCCTGTCTTGCAAACCAAAACAACAACCAAAGACCCAAACAGAAAGTAAGAGTGTAGCAAGGCAGAGACAAAAAAGCTGGAGTAGACTACAAATGTCAAAGCAGGGTATGTGGTTCAGCTAGTAAGGACCAACATGCATGAAGCCCAGATTCACAGCATAAAGCAGGCATAAGTATGCACATTTGTAATCCCAGCATTTGGGAGGCAGAGGCAGGAGAGTCAGGTCGTCTTCAGTTACCTAATGAGTTCCAGGCCAGCTAGAAGACCCTAAAATTCTAGAATAGAAAACAAACAAACAAAAAACCTAAAACAAAAACAAGCTTACATGCAAGTGGACCCTAAGGCAAAAAAATACTGCAGATGTGTCACACATCAAAAGGGTCGATTCAACAAGAGCTCACCAGAATCCTAAATGTTTTTGTTGTTGTTTTCTTGTTTCTGTTTTTAGTTGTTATCATTTGCTTGTTTGTTTTCAAGACAGGGTTTCTCTGTCTAGGCTTAGTTGTCCTGGAACTCTGTAGTTCAAGGCTGGCCTTGAACTCGCAGATATCCACCTGCTTCTGCCTCCCAAATGCTGGGATTAAGGCTCCACCACCTTTAGCCTGGCTTAGAATGCTAAATGTTTATGTGGTAGTAGCACTAACTCAATTGCTGAGCTCTAGCAAGCCCACAACCTGACATTTCAGAAGTGTGCTTCCTCACCCCACCCAAATGATAGCAAATATAAGGCAGAAAATCCTCAAGCACAAAGTAGATTTTGAGGAATTCTGTGCACCGACTGGTCTAACTGGCATTGCAGAATGTTCCACCCAACAGCCGTACAACAGAGCATATGGCACATCCTAGCAAAAGCCTGAATGTAGAGATAACCAAAGTCTACAGATTACTTTATGGCCACCAGAACTGGACAGAAGGGCCAGCTTTCCAGGAAACTGGCAAGTCAGGCTCGGTGTGACTAGCTCCTCTGGGAGGTACTACAATGCCATCCTCACCCCTGTTGTACCCCTTCCCTTCCAGCACAGTCACCCAGGACACTCACCTGCAAAAACTGCCTTTGCCTCCCCAGGGTACTTCGAGGACTTGGTGTTGTCTCTATGTGGGGAGGGTGGTGAGCTGCAGGGTCAGAAAACCACCAGAATTGGCTGTCATTGCCAGCACCGGAAACCTGAATTTAAGGGGCATCCCACCGTCCTCAACCCTGGGGGGTGGCATCTGGTGTCAGCCTTGGCCTCACTTCAATCCAGTCCTCATGGTGTTGAGAGAGAACGTGCTCGGCTCTAGGCCGGCACACATCTGCTGCTGCTCCAGTTTCAACGTCCTTTTCAGCCTTTGCTGGGCTGAGGTTTTCTCCATCAGCTGCTGTGAAGAAAGAAGAGTCTGGTGTTGCAGAGTGAGAGAGGTGGTTTTGCAGCCAGCCAGGCTAGGCTGGATCCCAGGATCAGGCAAGAGAGACATACTGGAATTTGTAGGTCACAGCTCTGGGCTCCAACAGAGACCCTGCTGCTCAATGCCTCAGAGGTCCTAGACTGGGATGAGTGGAAGGCAAAGACGTCTACCTGTGACCCAGCTTTGGAACCAGCCATGGGCACCCCAATGTGGATGCCCCAGGACATAAGTGGCTGAAGCATCCAGTCTCTTCAAACAAGTCTACGTCCCCAGTCCATGTGACTGTTCTCTTCCAGACTGCTGACACCTCCCTATACACACCTACAGAGCCCACTCTAGAGGGACCTCAGGCTGGGTGGGGTGGAAGGGACACTGGACAGGGTTGGCACACCACTCAAGGCCTCAGGAGGGGCAGCCCACTGACCTTCAGCTGGTGTTTGAAGACAAGTTCATCCAGTGCCATCTGCGTCTCCCAGACCTCCTGCTCTGCCTGCTGCCGCAGAAGGTCCAGTGCTTGCTCCTGCTTCTGTTGGTCCAGCTGTCATGAGACCCAACATCCCAGAATTCAAATTTGCCTTGCTGGCAATGAGTTATGAGGATCACCTTAGTAGATCCCATGCCTGGGCTGGGCCTGTCCCTCTAAGGTACCGACTACTCTTTCTACCTGAGCTTCCAGGCTGAGGGACAGGGCTGGGGACTACTTTTAAACCTTCCAGTTCTGTGTTTGGGAGCCTCCTACTCAGTCTTGGGGCAGATGCTGCTCACAGATAATCTCCAAACAGAAGGAGCCTAAAGGGGACACTGCTGTCACTGGCTTAGGATCATGGGGTGGGACATACCTTCAGTGACTCAAGAAAGCTCAGGGATTTCAGCTGTAGATTGGCCAGATGCCCACCATGCAGGCCTCCAGAATGTGGCCCCTCAGGTTCCTGCTGACCTGCAGACCACGGAGGAGGGCACCTGAGTGGCAGGTACGCTCTGAGCCTCTTTCCTGGTTGAGCCTCAGCACTTCTTGGCCTGCAAGGAAACTGAGGCCAGAGGCCGGGAGGGAAGGCCCATGACGCAAGGACTGTGCTGGTATCCCGCACTTCAAGAAGGGCCCCTTCCCTGAAGGCTCCTGGGAGACCATGGCTGCCATGTGCCTGTATTCCCTCAAGTTCACTGTGCCCCACTCTGGTCACCATTCATTCCAGAAGCAAGTTAGCATAGTTGACAAGAACCACCAAACAGACCGAGGTCCCATTCTCAGCTCTGTCCTGCACTTTCTAGGTGACCTGGAACAAAGCACTGGCCAGCCAGAGCTTCTGAAGGAACACAGCTTCCCTGTGTGAGGCTTCCATAATGGCTTTACAAGGCCTGACAAAGCCATGGTTGTTGCCAATGGTTCTCAGGTGGGTATGTGCTTCAGAGAGGCAAGTTCAGGGTGGGTGCTCCTAGGAATTCTGGGATATTACAGATTATGTCCCCAATAGGTTACAAAGTCCTGAAGGGTAGCAGAAGGAGCTTCTCTTCTTTCTGATGATCCCCCACCCCCACCACCGAGCCCAGGCTCTACATACTGTTGGTGTTCCCTGCCCTGTGGAGGCTTCCACTAGGGGGTGGCAGGGTATGGCCACAGGGCACATACTGAGCACTTAGGTGCTCTTGGGGACGCCTATCTAACTGGACACAACTCTTGGGTTGGCTGAACTCCCGTTTCTTTGCATGAGAAGAGGCTCCACTTCTATGGCTGAGGACTTGTAGGAGATTGAGGGCAAGCAGGTACCCGGACTCCATCACCCTTCCACTGACCCTGAAGATGTGAGGCCAAAACTCCAGGCCATGCATCTGAGAGGGCAGATCTTGGTCTCCTAACCCACACCAGCACCCCAAAAAGTCGCAAGGAACTACAGACTGTACGTCCCTGAGCACTGATTTTGTGACCCAGAAAAAAAACAGGTCAGTTCCCAGCTCTCCCACATCTCCCCCACCAGCAAAGAATAAGCTCACCCTAATCCATAACTCCCTCCAAAGGCAATTAGGGAGGCTCCCCAAGAATTCAGCACCACCAAAAGCCGTACAATGAGGACCCAGTGAGATGGTAGGAAGGACGATGATGATAATGATGATGATAGCAAGAGTGCTCAATTACAGCCCATTGTTCCTTTGCCCCTAGGGGAGACCTGTAGACTCCAAGAGTGAGTGGAGGTTTGCTTTCAGAAAAGCAGCAAAAGGCACAGTTGGTGTTTATCTTTGTACATTTAGAGGAGAAAAATGGGGACCTAAGTTTGACCCCAACACCCTTGTATTAAAAATCGGGGCATTGGAGAGATGGCTCAAAGGTTAAGAATACTTTTAGAGGACCTGGGTTCAATTCCTAGCACCCACATGGCAGCTCTCCTCTGGTTCCAGGGGATCCATCGCCCAGGCCTGCACGTGGTGCATGTACATATTAGTGCATGCAGGCAAAATACCCATACACATAAAATAGAATAAAGAAATCTTTTTTAAAAAGCTAGCTGGGAAGTGGTGATGCAAACATTTAATACCAGTACTTGAGAGGCAGAGACAGGCAGATCTCTGAATTAGAGACCAGCCTGGTCTAAAGAGCGAGTTTCAGGACAGCCAGGAGAAACCCTCTGTCTCAACAGACAAACAAACAAACAACAGCAACAAAGTTAGGTGTGGTGGGGTGCACATGTAACCCCAATGTTTCAGATGTGGAGAAAAGCAAAGCCTGGGCTCCCCAGACAGCCCAGTCTAGCCTGTATGGTGAGTTCCAGCCGCTGAGAGACTCTGTCTCAAAACACAAGGTGGGTGTCTGAGGACTGCAACTCAAGGTTATTTTCTGGCCTCTACACACACAAACACACACACACTAACATCTACTTCACACCATCACACTGACCACAGTTCTAAGTCTTGACAGCCATACGTGTCTGACAGCTACAATATCCCTCAGCAACAAACATCCTCCTGAGCAGAGATATCTAGGTGCTGAAGTCCAGAAAGTTCCACTAAACAATGTTGCTTGTACTCCTAAATAGCTGGAGTTGAGAGCTTCATTCTCATTTGCTGTCCCTGTGACTTACTAGCATTTGAGAGAATGGCAAATGAGGCGGAGGGATAAGACACTTGTAAGGAGAGGGCCAGACGCTTGGATGAAATGGTCATCCTGTTGTGATCAGGAATTGCTCTTGACTCTCTCACAACAGCAGCCCCCATTCAGTCAGTCTGGAGGAAGAGTGTACATAAGCCTAGACAGGAGTGGGCAGAGGCTAGCGGTATTCTAGAAATCTCACTGACTCTCTGGACTATACTTTCAAGGCTTTGCCCCAGTTTAGATGTTCCTTCTCAAATTTATGTAGATTTAATAATCATGTAACAGGGTTAGGGGGTAAGGCTTGTAAATGGTGATTGGGCCACTAAAGCCAGGAATGGACTTATCATAAAGGGGAGGGCTGGGTTATGGGTGTAGCACATTGCCTTAAGTTCCATCTCCAGCACTTCATAAACTGGATCTGGTGGCACACACCTGTAAGCCATCTCTTGGGAAACAGAGGAAGGAGAATCAGAAGTGGGTTAAAAAGAGCACAGCCTCAAAAGGCCTGGCTCAAAAGAAAACAGAACAAACGGGAGGGCGTGGCCTTCTGCTGTGTGATGGGATAGTAAGAGTCCCTTGACTCTCAAACTTCCCATCTTCTGAACTGTGAGCCCACAAATCTGTTTGTCATAAGTTCAGGCTGTTATAGCAGCTGCTCAGAAACAGGCTGGAGACACATGCAATGTTAATATTGCCGACTAGGCAGGCTCTGGAATCAGCTGGGAGACAAGCCTCTGGGTGTTTATCTAGAGTAGGCTTGCTGCGGTAAGAACACCTGCCTTGACCCTGGGTCATAGCATCACATGGGCTCAGGTACTGAATGGAGCACCAGCATCCATGACTCCCTGCTTTCTGGCAGCCAAGGCAACGTGACCAGCTTCTGAAAGCTCCTGCTGCCCTGTCCTTCCACTATCATAGTCTCTCCCTTTGAACTGTGAGCACAAATAACCTTTCCTTCCTTAGGCTTAATTCTAGTGGGGTACTTTGTCACAGAAACAAGTAACTAAAAAAATCAGCCATGGCCTTTGCTGGCTGACAATTGCCACACATAAGATTTTTGCCCATCCTGGCTCAGAATTCTCACCTGCCATCTCCTGCCCTAAAATGAAAAATTTGCTGGAGTAGGACTTAATCTGTGATCAATGTCAGATATGATAGCATGTGGCAAGGAGCAATAAGCTCACGGACCGCTGATGATTGTTATAGCCCTGGAGCCTGGGGAGAGCTGGCCGCCTTGCCTGAAGCCCCAGATATCCTATTCTAGGTGGAGAGTCGGCCAGAGCCAGAGGCCAGGAGCCTCTACCTGCTGGTTCTCACACAGCAGACAGCCCTTCACCACACCTACACATACTTCTCTGCAAGTTCACAAAAGAGCTGACTCACACCTGCCAGCCATGCCCATGGCTCTGAGCCTCGTCTGAGGCATCCCCTACCCACTCTTGTCAGCTCTACCTTGGAGGGGAAGCCTGGGCCTCACTAACTGCCCAGGCTTTTTCAGGCTCTGATGCCTTAGGCCTTCTCTGTGTGGTTGGGGGATCTGGGCAACGTTAAGGGCCACATTTACTCTTTATGTTTCTCAAAGCCAGGCATGATCATTTTTGTTGTTGCTGTTTGACTTGGTTTCATTGTGTGATTTTGGGGATTGAACCCATGGCTTCATACATGCTAGGCAAGCACTCTACGCTTGAGCTATATAGCCTTGCCTGTTTCCCGTGTGTGTGTGTGTGTGTGTGTGTGTGTGTGTGTGTGTGTGTGTGTGATTTTATTTTTGAATTTGTTCTGTTGTCGTTTGTTTGTTAGGTCTCGCTATGTATCCCAGGCGAGCCTGAAACTCTGTATTACCCAGTCTGACTTTAAATTTGTGATCCTCTGCCTTCAGCCTCCTACGTGCTGGACTTATAGGATGATATCTTACTACCACACTCAAAACCTGTTCTTTGAGGAAAATAAGCAAATAGCAACGACACAGTGAACAGAGTCCCAGGCTTGCTCAAATCCAGCTCCATGCCACACTGGGCAGGAAGGTTCTCACTGCAGCCTACAGACCACGAGCAGGCTGCACCCTGAGGGCAGTAGGCTCCTCCAGGCCTCTGTGGCTTCTGTGGTCAGCGGGGGAATGCCTTATACCCTTCCAGGTGCCAGCTCTTCAGCCCTGAGCTTCCTTAGCTGAAACCTAGGAACAAGGATACTTAAGTACTAAAGAAAAATACTAAACAAGAGTACTAAAGAAAAGAGCTAACAGACACAAGAAAGGAAAACAAGGGTGAGTGGCTATTCTAGAGACCGCAAAAATATACATCATGACAGCCACAAAAGGAGCAGAGTAGGTGGTGGGGGCTGGAGAGCCTCAAAACACTTTAATACTGAGATGTGTCTGCCATCCACATAGAAAAAGGTCTCTACCCTGCAAGACCAAGCTTGAGCTAGGCAGTGGAAGAGGCCCATGGGAGGCCCCCATGGCCACCCGACCAGCCAGCCCAGGGCCTATCTGCAGGCTCGCCCTTACCGCAGCTCTGGGTGGTCCCGGGCATTACCAAGCCTGCCCTTTTGGCTTCTGACATCTCCTCCTGCCAAAGGGAGCCACAAGTGGGGGCTGGTGCAGCTGACACCCCAAGTGAGCTAGAAGACAATGAGTATATGATGAGTGAAGTCATGATTAGAACGGGGGCAGGGGAAAGGATGGGTGCAAATACCCTAACTCAGCGGTAATATGCTAAGACCCAGGCAGTATGTCTACAGCCAGAACTGAGGGCTTAAGCCCTGGCGGAGGACAAGCCTTTGACCCAGAGAACAGCAGTGAGCATGTGGTACTTGGATATGGATGACTTGCAAGATGGCCAAGATGGAGGCCACGGCCTCCATCAGCCAGGTATGGCCACTGTGTGTATGCATGTGCGCATTCACTCGTGTGTGTTTGTGTGTGTGTGTGTAGCAGTTCAGCCAGTGTGCAGTGTCAGCTCATGACCAGAACTGTAGGTGGGATCAGAGCCCAGTGTGCCAATGCAGCTATCCTGGCCATCCCTGTCAGCTGCTAAGAAAACCACCCACAAGCTATGTGGGTGACACCTCACACTGCCACCCCATGGCTAGCACTGTGGCTCTGCCCTACTGCTGGGCTTTGATGTAGGGCTTGGTCATCAGAAGAGAAGTAGAGCATGACTAAGGATTCTAATTCTCTATTCTTCACAGACTCAGGTGGCTGCCCTCCCTCAGACAGGAAAGGCTATGGCCTTTACCCAAGTCAAAAGAACCCCAGCGGGCAGCAAGCAGCCTGGGGCAGGTGTGTATGCAGCAGCTGCAGGGATTAGAAGGCTTTGACTCACGGGGTGAATATGTAAATTGGCTGGTGTGGGTGGTAAACACAGCCTTGGCTCACTCTACTTTCTTCCCGAGGCACCATCTGTCCTGGCACATAGTGACCTGGACTCCACCTGAATCACCAAATATATTATCCAATCCTGTGTCTTTAGCAGCCCTTGAGGTCCACAGAGTGAGAGAGCCTTTTTCAACTTGAGTACTGTGCAGGGCTAGAATATGGTATGACCACACCCAGCCCCTGCCCGGAGTAAAGGTCTGTCTGAACATATGGACATACATTAAGGCTGCAAGGCACTATGGGATTATAGACATAGAAGCAGTTTCCAGAAAGCAGGAACAATGGGATGGAGTTAAATGTGAAGACAGGTGGGCCAAGCTCTATGGACAGCTGGCTAGAACTCCTAGTGCCCTCAGCTGTGAGAAGATGGTGACAGGCTGGGACCACCCATCACCAAGTGCCTGTTGAGTGGAGGAGAGGATCCCACCCAGACTCAGTCCAAGAGGTCCAGACCTTAGATGTGCACCTGAGGGGAATTGAAGGACAAACCACAGGCCTGGAAAAGACCCGCAGAAGTAAACCAGCAGGGCCACCTGGCCACCTAATGGGACTAGCAAGCCTGCTCCCTACTCTCCCAGAGCCCCCACCTTTCTGGGGAAAGGTTCTGAGCATTATTTCTGCCTCTTCTGGTCTCTCTTGGACTACTGGGCTAGTACTGTCCTGTAGAGCCCTGTGACCCACACAGGTGTGCTCATCTGGGGCGGGAACACAGTGGAAAGATGGCACAGGTGTGTCCAACCTGCAGCTCACACATGACACATGCCCCAGGATAGCTTAAGAATACACCCAACACAAACCGAATGTACTTTGGAATTTTAAAAACTCTAGTGGGGGTTCATAGTATGAACTCTGTAGATGATAAAGTGGGCAAGAAATTCCAACAAGTTGAACACCCCTGGAGAAGTCAGGCCACAACCCCTATAGTTTTGTACCAGGAATCTTGGCACCAGGGCCTTATGCGCCTGGGTCTGAGATGTTGGGGTTACCTACCCTGTCCATCTAGGAGCCTGGGATACTGAAATTAAACCTCTGAAAATTCTGGAACAGTCCATGCTGGAATGGGGTTCTCAGTAGCAGAGGAAAATCTCAGCACAATGCTTCCCCCTACTGGCCATTATGAGTCAATGAAGGCACAGGCCTCCCTGTCCAGGAAACAACAAACCCATCACCTTCTAAGGTCAAGTTCATTAGAGGAGGGGTAGGTTTCCTAGTGGGGTGGCATCTGGAAAGAAGGGTCCCAGCTCCAGGAGGTACAGGGGCAGGAGTTGGGGAGGTCACATTGCCTTCTGCTGTAGGTGGATGTGTTGGGAAAGGGAAGAAGTATGAGCTTGCTGAGATTTGACATCTAGGCCCTCTCCCAGAGTTGGGCCAGAAGTGAAGAAGCAGCCACCCTTTGGCTTCTACACCACAACCACAATAACCACAGCCTCCTTCACAGCTTGTTCCCCTGCTCTGAGTCCATGGCATCTGCTCTCACCCCTGGACGTGCATAGCTTCTCCTTGTATGAGAGGAACTATCTTCTAAGCTAACTAACCAGCTGCCAAGTAAAAACTGTGGTTAGCAGTATAACATGGCCCCTGCACCTGGGGACCAAACTGAGGTCAGAGGCTAACCTGGTGACCTCTATCAAGCGTAGACACAGGGCCAGCTAAGCCTCCATGGCAGTGGCCTTCCAGCCTCTTCCAGAATGCACACCCACAACTCTGTGAAAAGGCTCTTCAGGCTGGAGTCACCTGCCTCAGTGCTGCAGTCTAAGGACAGCATATGACAGAGATGTGGGTTGGTCCCTCTGGTGGGTAGCACAAAGAATCCCAGAAAGGAGGCCCGAGGTGGGGGCCTTGAGCACCACACAGCTTCTATTGCTGGAGGGAGCCCCCGACAAGGCCCAGGTGAGAGAACAGTAGGCAGGTGAAGGGAGATGCTTTGGGAGGCAGAGGAAATTTTCAGGAGGGTTAACCAAATATGCTCCCAGGTCCTAGAAAGGACAGAAACCACAGGTGCAGACAGAGGAAACCCTTAGCTTTCTGTTGGCGCCTGCTGAGGGTCAACTGTGGAGTTCCTACAGTACAAAAGCCTCCCAGGCCCTGGGATTCAGTGGGGGCCACTAAGAACTGGGTGAGGTGGGACAGGATGGGTTATTTTAAGAGCAGGAAGGAACAGGATGAGATGGGTGTGAGAGCACAGCGAGGGTCATAAAAACTACAGAAGGGACATCCTAAGCACCTGTGTGGATGGACTTCATCAGAAAAGGCCAAGCCCAGGGCAGAAGAAGGTACAGGGATAAGACTTGAGAAATCAAACGTGGGAAAATGACCCCGAACAGGCTGATGAATCCTGTGTCAAAGACCTCAGATACACTCAGCCTGCTAGCAACCAATGAGGAAAAGCTAAGACAAGAGGGTCTCCCAAGGCGTGTGGGCTGACACAAAGACATACTTGCCTGTTGGTAAGTATGTCTCCCTTTCCAGTGATGGGTTCAAGCCAGAGGTAAACCAGATGTGTGATGTGGGCCAGTATTGGAGGCAGCACACACTATGGCACATCTGGGGAGTTGTGTCACTCCCCACCTGGCCTGATGCACCCAGACTCTTGGCTGTAGCCCCTGGACTAACATGAGGATCCTCCACAGAGGACTGAGGGGCAGATCTAATGGCCATAGCACAGGAAACCGGACTCACCTCCTCATGCAGGCACCAAGGGTCTGGAGGGCGGCCATTTCTCTCTGCAGCTTCTTCTCCAGATCCCAGTGTCTCTCCTCTGTGGTACTCTTGGAAAGGGCCCCATAACTTGAGCCAGCAGGACAAGGCTGAGTGTGCGGGATGGCCTGAGATGCTGAGGCAGGGGTGCTAGACACAGGACTTGCAGAGCACGGAGGTCTTGATGGCCTTCTTGCCCCTTGGGGAGATAGGACAGGTAGGCAACAGGCTTTGGGGAGAGCCTCCCCCTCCCCCAACATGGGACGAGACAGCTATGGCCTATGTTTGTCACTCAGGGAACATCAGCTCTTGTCCCTACTCTCATTGTCTAGGCAATTCCCATCCTGCTCTCCAGGCAGGAAATGGAATGGAGCTCTGTTGCTCCTAGCCCAAGGGTCACCCATCAGTCATGACACCCACTGCCCAGCCCCACCTTGGGGCTGGCTCTCAGTCTGAGTCCCCAGGTTTGGGCTCTGCGTCTCCCAGCCGGGGGTTCCATGACAGCATCTTACCATCCTGGAAGTAGGTGCTGGGGAGAAGGGGCTTGGCCTGGGGAGCTTCTCTACCCCCTGTAGACATTAAGGTTCCGAGGCAAGAGGGAGGAGTGAGTGTGGGGGCAGCAGGTGCCATGCTGGGGTCCAAGGGCAGCAGGTCTGAGGCCAGGTCTGCAGCTGTGTCCTGTGGTGTTGACTTGTGTAGCTTTGTGGTTAGGATGTCAATGCGCTCCTTGAGGACCTCAGCCATGGTCTCCAGTGCCTGCAGCCGGGCCTGCTTATACTGCAAGTGCAGAGGCCCGATGGGCCCAAATGCTCAGTGGGAGTCCAGGCAGATGCACAACTTTTCCACCCCACCCCACCCCAGCAGAGCTTCGTGAGGTCAGCGGAGAAAGTAGTAGATAGTACCAGAGGGGCGTCACTCACGCCTTCCTGGGGGCGTCCAATGTCCTGGGTCTCAGCGCGATTCCACGGCTTATTCAAACACAGACAGAAGCTGCAGGGAGAGAGGAGCGGTAGGACGCTCAGCTCAGCAACGGTGCTCAACAGGGTGCGCAGAACACACATGTTGAGGGAAGGAGAGGCAACGAGGGCATCTGTGACAGCCAGGGTTGACCACAGACCAGACGTCAGGGTGATATCATATATCAGACCATGCACAGCTCAACAGAATAGGAACGGGGTGTGGGTGAGGCATGGAGAAACATGCTGGCAGGAATGTCAGATACCGCAGTTCCTGGGAAACAGTCCAGTGAGTCCTCAAATACTAAACACCAAGTTACCACATGCTCCAGCAAGGCTTCTTCCGGTTAAAAGTATTGTAAGCAGGGGTGTGAACAGATGTTTGCAGACATCACACCATGCAAAACCAAAAACGACACACACAAAACAGTCTCTATGAACACATGACGAATCGGCACCATGAGGTGGTGCATCCACACAATGGGACCCTTCTCAGCTGTAAGCATGAAGAGACACTGGTACCTGCTGCACCAGCGATGAACCTCAGAGACATCAGTGACCAAAGGTCAAGGTGAAAAGAATTCCACATGGCTGAGTTTACCTAAGCCATTAGATCCAGAGAGACTGACAGACAAACAGATGGCGATGCCAGGGACTGGCAGGGGCTTCTGGCTTGTGTCCATGGAGCCAGGGAATCCATTCAGGAAGAGAAGGGCGTTCTGAGGGTGGATGGTGAGGGTGACTGCACAGCACCATGAACTGGTGCCATGCACCCAAACACATCACGCCAGGCATGGTGGTATACGTCTGCACGCTCAGCATGCGAGAGGCTGGTGTGGGAGGACTTCGAATTTAAAACTACAGAGTAAGACCCTCACTTCAGGAACAGGACAAATGCCTGGCATGGGCTTGCATGCCTTTAGTCCCACCTAGCGCTTGGGAAGCAGAGGCAGGTCTATCTCTGAGTTCTAGGCCAGCCTGGTCTATACAATGAGACCCTGTCTCCGAACAAATAGCAGTAAAAACGTAACCAACCAAACAATGAAGCTAGATGGTGGCATAGGCCTGATAAAACCAGTTTCTTAGGAGGCTGAGGCAGGAAGAGCGCAATGTCTACCAGCAACTTAGTGGGTGACCCTGTCTCAAAGTAAGGCGGGGGGTTGCTTTGTTTTTGTTTCTTAAGGCCAGAAGGAGGTAAATACCTTTAATCCCAGAACTCAGGTAAGAGGTCTTTGTGAGTTTGAGGCCGGCTGGGGCATAGTTAGATCCTGTCATAAATAAACAAACAAAAGCTAGGGATGTAGCTCAAGAGTAGAAGGCTTGTATGCCATGCTTAAAGCTCTGGGTTCAATTCCCATCACAGAAGACAAGAGGAGGAGGTGTGAGACACAGCTGGGCTATAGTGAGTCATTTTAACCACCCCTAATAATAACGTGCTGTGAAACACCAAAAACTTAAAATTAAAAAAAGGGTGTTGAATGTGTTTTATCATACAGAAATGATAAATGTGTGGGTATGGACGCACTTAACCTAATTTGAATGTCATGCATGTGCGCGCATATTGAAGCACCCATGGTGCCATCTACCCGTGTGCACAATTTCCATGTTTTTATGTGTCAGGTAAGCAAAAACTTAAATCCAAAATCCAAAAACAAAATCCAGAGGGGCTGAGGATTCAAAAAAATGGTTATCGTTGTAAATGTTATGTGCATTTTAGCATAGTTTTATAAAGTGGGAATAAAAAGGGGCCAGGATTCAGTAAAAGGAGACAGGTCTACAGCTTCCCACAGGGAAGGGGACACTCCCTCGCACTGGAGGGAGCTAGAAGAGCCAGCGGGCTATAGAGGGCCACCCGTGGGTGTGGTGCTGGTTGGACCCGCGTCATCCTCCATTTGGAACTAGGGCTGCTTTAGAAGTTCACAGATACAGGCGCCCTAGGCTGTCCTTCAGATATGAACTCTCAGGACACAGTCAGGAAGAGTAGGCAGGATAAGGGAGGGAGTTGGGGAAAGGAGTCAGGAGGAAGAGGAGGAGGGGGGACTGTCCATCTCCTATAGGGCTAAAGGTATTTATAGAGAGGGGTAGGAGCAGGTACCAAGGAGGTCAGATCCAAGTTCCTCCCAACACCAGCCAAAAACATACTCAGGAACATCCCCAGAGAGGCTAGGGCAGGGCATTTCTGGAAGCAACCTCCTGAGAGGTGATGCCAGTCCCAGCTTTCTGCCTCCATCATCTTCCTGTGCTGGTCGTGAGTACCTTAGCAGGTGGCCAGAAAGAAGCCAGGCTAGGGAGTGGCTCTGCTGGCAAGACCCAGTGGTGGAGGAAGGGAAGAGCTGTCCTGTTTTAGTGGTGAGGAAATGGGTTGAGAGTGAAGGAAGGAGAAAAGGAAGGAAAGAAGGGCATGTAGAGAAATCAGTCCTCAAACCCTGCTGGTGCGGGTGGAAGGCAGTGAAGGCATGGCAGCAAGCACCTGGCAAAGAACTCCGTAGAGAAACACAGTGCACGCCAACACCACACACCCCCTGAAGTGGGCCTCTGTGTCCCCTTGCTGGGCATGTGTTCCCAGCCTTTCTGGGAGCATGTGGAACTCCGGGGACAGGAGGTAATGAGTTAGGATCTAGAGACACCCAGGTCAAGTCCTCTCTCAGGTACTCGGTGCCAATCAGAATCCCAAATGTTGAAACCTTGAAAGAGTCTATAAAATTCCTTCAAGTCTATGAAATCCTAATTTTGAAATATTAAACTGTGAATGTTGAAACAAAACCCCTGTAACCTGAAGTCCTAAAAACCTCAGTTCTTATACAGGAAGAAAGCCTGTATGAGAGGATGCCAAGCCCAGCTTTGTGGCTGGGACTCACTGGCTCTCTGTATGGCCTCGGCCCCTGCACCCTGAAGGAAGAATGCCTAGAAACCTGGGGACATATTTGTGCCTGCAAGGGGTTCTCCAAAGTCCAGGATGTGGTCCTCAGTGGAAGAGGTGGGGAGACCCTCAGAGGAAATGAATGGGAACATGGCCCCTAAGAGGTGAGGCCATAACAGAAAAACAGCAGCCTCCCAGCCATGACTCAAGACTTCAGAACACAGGCCAAGAACAGGATATATCATCTCTCCAAGACTGTCCACACTGTCCACAGTCCACCCTGTGGTCTGTTTGCCCTCAGTCACAGACCCTTCGCATCCAGCTTTGTTTTATTATAGTTTGTAATTCTTTCCCCACATTTGACTCGTCAGTGCTCTCTTTCCTTTTCATTTCATCTCCATTCCATTCACATCCTTAAGAGGCCTGGGGGTGTACATTGCACAAAGACTTTGATAGTTCTAATTAATCACTTCTTGGCACTTTTTACTGGTATGGCTCGGGGAAAAGAGCACTCATACACAGATTTTTGTGCACCCAAAAAACCCTTGAAGCCCCCCTGAACCCTGAAGCCTGTGAGACGTCCTTTCTCTACACTCACTTGATGAACCCACCCTTTGGGTGACCTCTCTCCGTAGAGTACTGTTTACCCCTTACCCAGACGACTAAGGTGAGAAAGCTGGGTGTCCAACCACAGCGCCCTGTCTCCTCCTGAGTGTGGTCCATCTGCTCATAACTGCATGTATTCAATGTGAGGGTCCTGTGTGCCTGTGATCTGCTTTTTTACTTTACCTATTTATTTGATTGTATGTGTATGTTCTGAATTTTATTTTATCTATTTTATTATATAAGGCAGCCTCTGAAATGTTCTACTATATGTTTATGTCTCTCAAGTAATTCTCACTTTAAAAATGGCAACATAGCACTCTCTCTCTCTTTCTCTCTCTCTCACTCTCTTGATTTTTTAAGACAGGGTTTCTCTGTGTAGCCTTGGCTGTCCTGGACTCCCTTGTAGATCAGATTGGCCTCAAGCTAACAGAGCTCTGCCTGCCTCTGCCTCCCAGAGTGATGGGGTTACAGGCGAGCATCACCATGCTCAGCTGCAATACACTTTTTAAATAAATTAAATTTTGGTGTGTTTTCAGAATTTAAATATTTCAAAGCTGTAATTTTCAGTGTTAGATCCCCCCCCCTTTGGGCATTTCAGCTTTAGGATTATGTTGTTCTAGACTATTGTGTGGCACAAACAGGAGAAAGAAAGGCAGGTGTTCAAACAAGCACACCCATACCCATGACCTACTGTTTTGAATAGCTGAAAGTAGGCATAACCTGAGTCCACAGCAATAGATAAAGGAAATGTGAAAAGACCCTGGTGACTGGCAGGCTTCAAAAGAAGTCCTGTCACAGCTTCCCTACAGTGAGCCCAAGAGAGAAACCAAGTGAGAGAAACCAGGCCTGTATTCTCAGTATACCATTGACAGGTAGTGTCTGAGGGCTGGGGGATGGGTGGGAGGTCAGGGATGGTGGCAACTTACAGTGTGGGTCTCCTATAGCAGTGCTGGAGGCAGACAGAGGTGACATTTGCACACCATGCCCCCATCTTGTACATTTAAAAGCAGGTTAGAAGCAGACAGGGTGTCTCAGTGGGTAAAGGCTCTTGCTACATAAACCTGGCAACCTGAATTCTATCCCTGGAATCCACATGAAGGTGGCAGGAGAGAACCATCTTCACCAAGTGGCATATACTCCACCTCCATACACATTTACTAATACTAAATAAATTTATACATGAAACCCAACTTGATCTGGAGAGAGCTCAGTCACATGTCTGCCATATAAGCATGGATTTAATCCCCAGAATCCACATTAAAAAAAAAAGTCAAATGTGCTGGTGCATATTTATAATCCCAGCACTAGGGAAGCAGAGGCAGGAGAATTCCTGGAGCTCACTGCCTAGCCTGCCACCCTAATCAGCAAGCCACAGGTCCCAGTGAGAGACCCTGTCACAAATACCCAAGGTAGAGAGCTTCTGCGAACCAGTCTCTGAGGTCAACCTCTGGGACAAACATGTAAAACTGTATACACACAAAGTACACACATATGCGTACACACACATACACAAATGGGCTGTTTATATTCCCAGTGACTTTCTCACCTCAGCAAAACACAGTAGTGTCTCTGCTCTGTAAAACACTCCCCCAAGGAGCCACACTGGCATGGACAATGTCAGAGAACCCTCAGAGTTCATCCTCCCCTCTTCCGCTATGAGCTCCCTGTATTTTTGCCCAGGGAGAACATCCCTGCCCTCCCCACCCACCTGTCCGGAGCCTCCTGGTCCCCAAGCACCATGCCAGATGTTACTTTGCTCCACTTCCGCAGTGGTGTTGCTCCCAGGCTTTCAGGGGCTTCCAGGCCCTAAAGCAGAGAGAACACATAGGACCCCCTCATTTTAGGTCAAAGCTGGGCTCCGGCCCCTACCAGGCACTTCAGGCTAGACTCTAAGGACAATTCAAAGAATTAGGGGTGAAGAGTCAAATGGGTTCTTCTAGCCTTGTCTACCTATGCAGACAGTGTGCAGGAACTCCCCCAAAATGCCAAAGAGGAACCAAGTTTAGCTGGGAACATTCTCCAGCATGCTACCACCCCAGCCAGGGACAAGGGTGCCACGTGCCTAGCCTCTTCTCCTGGCATAGTCTCTATCTCAGGTAAATGCCTGCAAGCTGTCCAGAGCCAATGCCATCTCAACCCCTAGGCATCCCCTAGACTCACTGGCACCCAGCCACCCACCTCTTGGTGGGCAGTAGGCAGCCAGAGGTAGCAAAGAGCCTCAGGCTCAAAGGCTTGGATGATCCCACCCAGCACATACCCCAGACTGTATGGTACTGGGAACAAAGGTGACAATGCCATGGCTCTTCTGGGAAACCACAGGGATGGTCTTGCCAAGGATGGCCTCTTGCTGCTTCCGGTATACCTCCTGCAGCCTCTGGTTCCGCAGCTCCAGTGTGTGTGCAGCCAAGGCCTTCTCTTCCCTGGCCTGCTGCCATTCAGTCTGGGCCTTCTGATGAATAAAGTTCTGCAAAGACTCAAAGCTATGTGACTGACGCAGAGACACCCATGGCCTTACACAGGGTGAGGCCTTCCGTGTGTCCTGCTCCTTTGCTGGTTTGCTCTGAGGGAAGGCCTGGGTAGGCTCTGGCCAAGCTGCTTTGACTTTTGAAAGAGGCGGAACAGCGCTTTCTCCCTTGCTGTAGGGACTGGATCTCTGCACAAAAGAACTACTCAAGGGCTGCTGGGGAGCAGGATGTGGCCTAGCCAGAGAGCTCCGTGGACTGGGCTCAGAAACCTCCCAATCTTTACAAGCTGTGGAAGTCCTCTGTGAACAAGCCTGGCCAGCCAGAGCACTCCAGGGTCGCTGTGAGAAGGGGCTTGCTTTTTTAAGGGGAATCCCAGACCTCTGGAAGGGAATGTCCTGCCCCTGGGCTTCCTGGGGCCTCTGTGGATAGGTCTGCCAAGCCAGGGCACTCCAGGGCTGCTGTGAGAAGGAACTTGGTGTTTCTGGAGTGCTCCCAGGCCTCTGGAAGGGGATGTCCTGCCCCTGAGCTTCCCGGATTCTCTGTGGATAGGTCTGCCAAGCCAGGGTACTCCAGGGCCGCTGTGAGAAGGAACTTGGCGTTTCTGGAGTGTTCACAGGCCTCTGGAAGGAGGTGTCTTGTCTCTGTGCGGTCCTCTGCTCAGTCAAGGCTTTTTTCCAGTGTTGCTGGCCGTACAAGTTCCTAGCCCCATCCAAGGAAAAGCCTTCCCATTCTGTCACAGTCCAAGGACTCTTTGAGGAGCCGTGCAGGTCCCGGGTGGTTTGGGGTCCCTGCTGCTTCTTCTCTGCCAGGTTCTGTGGCTTTGATTTTGATGGTGAGAGCTTCCTTGCCATCCTGGTGTGCCTGGAAAGCTCCAGACCAGCCTGGATTTGCTGGCGCAGGTCTTGTAGGACCTTCATGGCACCTTGGATAGTTGCTGACTGATCATGGCTGGGTCTGTGCTGGTCGCTATTGGCAAAGGTGGGCTTAGATAACCAGGCATGGGCAGATGAGTCCTCAACAACTGCTGCTTTCTTGTTAGAGCCTGCAAAGACAGGCAATGAAGGAGAACTGGGATCTGTGAGCTGGAGGAAAGAACAGACCTGGTCCTCCATTAAGGGGCCATTGCAGGGTCACTAGGGAGGCCCTGCTTTAGCACCACAAATGCCCTTTCAGCCTCAGCCTCACAATCCACACACCAAGGAGGGCAGGTGCTGTTGCACCACAAACGCCCTCTCAGCCTCAGCCCCACATTTCACACACCAAGGAGGGCAGGTGCTGCTTGAGTGAGCCACCTGATCCACATGTTGACAGGGTGCATGTGGAGGGGTGGCAGGTGTTCACCAAGGAGTGACCATTCCCATCTGCTTGCCTCACAAAAGCTCAAGTAGTACATCTGCTCCTAAAGCTGAGAAGAGCTTCTTTCTTCAGGTTTGTAAAGATAATTATTCCCAAATTCCCATCTCTGAGGGAAATCCCAAGAGAGGCTACCCAGCTACCACCCTCCCAGGCAGCACAGAAGTTTCCTCTGTGCCCTCCCACTAATGCCACAGCAAAACAGACCAGGCCAAGGCTGAGGCATAAGGTACCTAATTCCGTGGCAGGGGCCTTGCTCTGGAGCCGTGAGAGGACAGGAGGGGGGCCAAGCAGCTGCCTCACCAGGGCTTGTCCTTTTCTCCAGGCATACACACCAGACAACTCAGAATCTTAAATAGAAAACACACAGCAGGACCCATGGCTCTCAGACCATTGGCAAGGGTTCATACCACTTCTGAAGAGAGCTTGGCACATTCTTCAAGGACCCACAGGGAAACCCCTCACATCCAAACCCCTGTGGGAACAAAGCCAGCATGGGTGAGTGCATCTCAGGGTGATGGTGAAGCTCCAGGATCCCGCTCAATAGAGGTAGCGATAAAACCTCTCCGCCAACAGCTCCCCTGTGGGCTACTTAACATCTGTCCAGGCACTCAGCCCATACCCAACTAGGAACAATGACAAGGCCGCAGCCTCAGGTGAGACCTACAGCTGGCCACTCAGGCAGGGGTTCACACCAGGGCCGCAACAGCCAGCAAAGCCATGACCATACATCTTAGTAGAGAGATTAATGCACCCTGAAGCTAGTCAGATCCACAGCAGTGGGATCAGAATCAGAGACAACTTTAAACCTCCTAAATGATACAGAAATAAATGACCAGCAAAGCTGAGCTTCCCTTAACAGACACGGTCATACAATAAACATGACTGTTCAAGGTTTTACACTTCATAACATCAGATCGTATCCACCAAAGTCAACACTGACTGGCCAACATGACAAGCCCAGTCACAGGGCCCCACAGAGACAGGAAGCAGGTCTTTCACCTACACTCATACGCCCATTCCTATGTGCTCACAAGGCTCATTCAAGCACACTCACAAGCTATAATGATGTTTCACACAGCTTCACATACATTCACAGGCTCACACAGTTTGACATGCTCCGTGGAAGCCTGTGGAAGAAAGATGGAAACTTATTGTAGCTATGGATGTGGCAGAGCATAGAATGTTCATCCTACAAAGATGACATGGACATTCCCACCATGCCCTTGCTTTTAAGGGCATTCACTATAGTTGATGCAGTTCCTACTAAAGGCCACCAGGTGGGACAAACATTCTGCACTCTGCCCCATCCGCAGTTCACAGTAAGCTCACAGCTTTCTTATAGGTGTTATCGCAATGCTCACACCCCGGCTCCCCCATACATTCTCATTCACATTAGCATACAAGCTCACATATTCACATGCTCACAGCTGTGCCCTCACTCATTCACATACATGCCTACACACTCGTGTCCACGGGCAACGATACATACATGCTTTGTACACTCACTTGTGTGCACACGAACATCCACACTTTCACACACATATTCTCACAGGCACAGACATACCACTCTGGGTCCAGCAGGCTCTGCAAAACTGAGACTACACACCTGGCTTGTTCCCAGTCATTCTACCCACACTCCTGCTCAAGGCAACACCACCTGAGGCGTGGGATCACATCTCCATGTGGACTAAGTGGGGACTCCATGTGGGTTCCCTAGTGAGAGGAGCAGGGGCTGTCTCTGACATGAACTCCTTGCCTGCTCTTTGCTCACTTCCCCATGGTGAGGCAACCTTGCCAGAGAAAGAGGATCCAGGCAGTCCTGATGATACTTGATATGTGAGATAGTAGGGGAGGAGGGCTCCCCTTTCTGTGGACTAGGGGAAGGAGATGGGGGGAAGAGGATGGGAGGGTGGGGTTGGGAGGAGATGAGGGAGGGGCCTACAATTGGGATATAAAGTGACTAAATCGTAGGAAATAAAAGGTGCTGACTGCTCTTCCAGAGTCTCAGCTTTGATCCTAGCACTCACAAGGCAGCTAACAATGCTGTAACTGCAGTCCTCAAAAATCTGACTCTCTTTTCTGGTCTGCCTCCTCAGGCACCAGGCATTCGAGTGCAGGAGGGATGGGGATGAGGTTGAGCTTCCCAAGAAGGTGGCTCAATCCTGCCCTTATGTACTGCATCCAACTGGCCCCGCTTTGTCTGCCAGGCCCTGGGCCAGAGGCCCCGTGTAGGGAGGACAGCCCCTGGCTTCTTCCACAGCTATCCAGCCTCCCCATTAACCCACCAGGGGAGTCCCACAGCTATCCAGCCTCCCCATTAACCCACCAGGGGAGTCCCGGTCGATAAATGGGTCCTGATGGGCACATTTTTTTCTTCTGCTGAGCAGTTTAATGGCAATTAATTTTTTTATGGGAGGATTTTTAATCTGTGGAAATGGATGGAGAGCCCAAGTGCCCTGTCAAGGCTCCAGGCCAACCTAATCTATGATAAAAATGCAAAGCGAGGTGATATAATCTAAAATTAAATATCGGGCTTCATTTTCCTTTGGCCCAGATGGATGAATATTTTATAACTATTGTGATTTAATTTTTTGTTAACTACAGCAAATTTCTAATTCATCCAATTCCCAAGTCCTGTAGCTCTGACCCCTGAACCCAAACTCATCTCTCCTTAGCCCAGCTGTGGCTTTGTCACTGACAGAAACTAATGGTCACTACCATCAGGGTGACACGGTGACTGCGATGATGAATGCAGCCAGTGGCATGCCCTCTGACCCTGTGTCAGGCAGACGGCAGGTCATTTTTCAAGCAAGCCATTAAAAGAAAACAACAGAAAGCTGGGGATGAGGGAGATGATGCAGAAGAGAGCCACACTTTATGCATTTTCAGGGGACCTTCCGGAACCTTCTTGCAGTTTCACTGTCTCTCGGTCTTGGGTTCCAGAGGTGTTTGTTCTTCCTAACCTGTGTCATCTCTGGCCAGCTGGAAGACTTGTATGCACCCTTTGCTGAGCACACAGTGGGCTAGGCAGAGACTCATTATTCTACAGGACATAGCTTTGCTCGGGAGCAAGGGAGGCAGGCTACTGAGCAGACATGGGGGTGTACACACAGCATCACCACCCATGCTGGTGGGTCCAGAATGGTGATCTCATGGTTTGGGGGACCTGAGACAGGGAGATACCAAAGGCAGCTGAGAAAAGTACTCCCAGACCCTGTGTGGCTTTTATGCTCAGTCCTGTCAAACTGACTTCAACCCCACCAGTTTGGGATCTCCTGACCTGGGAAGTCTTCATGGTATTACCTAAGGCTAGGCTGAAGCAGGAGGCCTTGACAAGGGCTCAGGCATTGTTTTAGGAGATACCTGGCTCTCTAATAGGGAGCACAGGTCTAGAGCTAGACGGGTCAGGGTCTAGCCCAGATCTTTACCTGTGTGGCCCTGGGCAGGCTGCCAAGCCACCCTGGGCCTCAGTTTCCACATCTATAGAACGGGAGCCAACCTACCTCATTCTCAGCATACCTCAGAAACATTATAGACTGTGCCTGGCTCCCTCCCAACAATCTCAAAACACACCTTGCCTTTCTTTGGGGTTCAGAGATCCATCTAAATGGAGGGACCCCTTTGCTTCTGCTCCATAGGTCGTAGAGGCAGCACCCTGGCTAGGAGTGTGGGTATCTATAAGGATCCCAGCTCAGGAAACGGGCTGCCCTAAATAGAAGCCTGCCACCAGAGGTCACTAACTAGATCCCTTGAGGACTTGCCATAAAATTGACAGCCACATAGGTCAGGGTGAAGCACTTGCAAGCAGCTCACAGTGCCACAAAGATATAGGCACCACCAAGCATGCTTTCACCTACAATCCTGGATCCCAAATCAGGAAAGCACACGCTCTTCCAAGGTTACCCGGAAGGGCAGCAAAGCAGAAAACCACCTCAGGAGGACAGGAGGAGAGGCAGGACTACCATTTTACTGTCTTCTCAGCATGTCACTGCTCTGAAGAGCAACAGGCTGAGAACATTAGGAGCATGGCCAGATGGCTTTATGCCATTCCAGTCTTCAGGGGCATAAAGAAGAGCTCACATCCCTTGGGGAGTTGCAGACTACCACTTCATAGCAAGGAACCCTCAGATCACAGGGCCCCAAGCGCCTTGCACATTGCAAAACTGGCAGCCCCTGGCAGCCAATGTCCCCAGCACAGAATCAAGAGCTATGTGTCACCCTCACCAGCTAGAATCACAGACTCTGGGGTCTGGAGTAGCAAACCTCACCTCTGCTCTTGGTAGTTCTGTAAGGTATAGATGACTTTGGGATCTCTCTTTTGCAAGAAGCACTTCTGTTCCTTTTGATGTTTGTCCTTGGAACTAAGAGAGGAGATGGGGAGAGAAGGAGGGAAGGAACCTTAATCAAACAACATGCAAATAGGCAATATACTCACCTTGACACTAGGGCCTGGGCTTGTGTTTGCTGAGTAAATGAATGATTGAATGAGGCAAGCCCCAAGAGAATCCAGGTATAGCATCTTTTCCTTGGACATAACTCCCACCAGGGAAGGAAGACAGAGGCTGGAACTAAAGGGTCCAGTCTCTGATTGACAAACATGGTGACATCACTCTGATGGGGGAAAGCCCCTTCAACATTCCACAGCAAATTCTGTGGCCAACTCCCATTTGGAAGGCTGAAGCAGGAAGATCTCAAGTTCAAGGCCAACCTGAGCTATGTAGTGAGGGCCTGTCTAAAAAGGAAAGAGAAAGCTGGGCACAGAGGCTGTACTCCCAGCACTTGGGGAGGTACAGGTAGGTGGATCTCTGTGAGTTAGAGGCCAGCCTGGTCTACAAAGTGAGTTCAGGACAGCCAAGGCTACATAGAGAAATCCTGTCTCAGAAAAAAAAAAAAAGAAGAAAAAAAAAAAGACAAGAGAAAGAAGGACAAGAGAGGGAGAGGAGGAAAAGCAGGAGGAGGACGTGGAGGGGAAGCACATGTGCCGTGGGATTCCAGTTGTGGGATGTTCGCAGCAGCAGCAGATCCACAGAGATGTGGATCACAAGGGCAGCAGCCACACTTGTGGTGGAGAAGAGAAGGTGGCTTATCACACAAGCTGAAAGGACAGGATTTCATGGAAGGCAGAAGAGAAGACGGAGATAGGGTCAAGAAGGTCCTGCCTAACCTGTCCATCAGCCCACTTGGGACCCTGCCTACACTTGCCATTGGCTCGTAATCCCAAGGAATATTCCTGTGTCTGGGTCTGCTGTCCAATAGGTGTCAACTGGAGTACTGACCAGCCTTCGTGCCTTGCTAGGGACCTGCGTCTCACCACTTCCTCCTTCCATGAGAAACCCTTTTATTCTCCTGAGCTGCAGAACTTGGAGATCCAGAATGCCCAGGGACTACATGATCTGGGGGAGTCCCCAAGACCTGTGCTCTTGTGCCCCCACTCCCCTCCCTTGCATCTCCAAGACCTCCCTAGTGTCTATACAGAATGAGAGTCTAGCATGCAGTCTGACTGGCAGCACATGAGCCCAGCATTCTTAGACAGGGATGATGCTCCTGCCACCTCTCCATGGTCCTTTGCTGTTGATCAGCACAGTGAGCAAAACAGACCAGGCCAAGGCTGAGGCATAAGGTACCTAATTCCATGGCAGGGGCCTTGCTCTGGAGCCATGAGAGGACAGGAGGGGGGCCAGGCAGCTGCCTCACCAGGGCTTGTCCTTTTCTCCAGGCATACACACCAGACAACTCAGAATCTTATATAGAAAACACAGCAGGACCCATGGCTCTCAGACCATTGGCAAGGGTTCATACCACTTCTGAAGAGAGCTTGGCATGATCTAAGAGTCTGCTGACCCACCACCCATCTTTTAGCATCCCCAGGGCCAGGAAAGGCCATCTTGAGCACTGCCTTCCATATACACAAACAAAACAACAAGCCTCAGCGCCAACAGGGATCTGTAGATGTGAGTACAGAATGGGACTGGAGTAGAAGAATATGGGAAGGGCCTGGCCTTCTCTACACAGAGGATGTCTCTGCCGGGAGACAGCCTTGCTTTACATTCCTACCTTGATTCCTTTTCTTGAGAGGCCAACAAGGAGAACTCAGGTTCTAAGAAACCTCTGGATGACCCCTTCCTAGACAGGGCCTTTTGACCATATGTGTTCTTATTAGTCTCAGGGTCCATCCCAGAGCCACTCACCTAAAGTATGGTGCTGGAGAACCCTTGAGCGCTGCCGTCTCAAGTTGAGAGGTGCTCTGTCTTTGCTTCTATACTCAGCTGCACGAAAAATACCTGACCCTGGAGAAGAATGGAGAAAAGGTGCATAGTGAAACAATTCCAGAATGCACTTACACTTTAGAGCCCCTACAATCCTTTAAATTGTTCTCCTGCTCAACACCTCAGGCCAGAAAACACATCCCACAAAAGCCATCTGAACATATACTATTATGATTAGGTAAAAAGTCACACGTCATTCTCACCAAAACTAGCACAAGCATTGTGCCCTGGAAGCTTCCTCAGGCCAACTATGAGCAGAGCCATCTCAGAGGCACACTTTCTCCTTTTTACAGTTTAAGATCCAAGTCCAGGAAATGGTGCCACCCAGAGTGAGCACCTCAATTAATATAATCAAGATAACTCCAGGGCCAAAAGATGGCCCAGCAGGTAAAGCCACATGGCCATGACCTAAAGATGGAAAGAACAGGTGCAGTGGTGCACGCCTGTAATCCCAGCACTCAGGAAGGCAGGGGCTGCTGGATCTCTGTGAGTTCAAGGCCAGCCTGGTCTACAAAGTGAGTCCAGAATAGCCAACACTACACAGAGAAACTCTATCTCAAACAACACCCCCCTCAAAAAAAAAAAAAAAAAAAAAAAAAAAAGATGGGAAGAGAATATCACGAAGTTGCTCTCTGACCTCCACACACTTGTTGTAATGGCACACAGGCTCACCATACAAATACATCATGCACATACACAGGCTTTTTTTTTTTTTTTAAGATCATTTATCATAGGCTCTGTTGCCCAGGTAATTCTACATCTCATCAGGTTGACAAGTGAGATTAGTCATCAAATAATGTTAATGGATGACTTTGGCATAAGCTCAGAAGACCAGAGCACTGACAGCAATGCAGTCAGTAGAGCCTGCTCTGTTGAGGATCTGGGTTCTGCAAGAAGGTGGACCCAAGGCCTGATGGACTGCACAGCAGCAGAGAACTCTGCATTTTGTCTTCCCTCTGAGACTGTGTTTGAGGCTAAGTATGAAGGTGATGGATTATTTAATTTCACAGAAGAAATTCAAAGACAACCCCCTGTTCAGGCTGTAGCATGGGTATTGCTGACTTTTAGACAGGTTTATATTGAAAATCAGAAGCAAGAAGCAGAGGATTTAAAAAGCCTTCAGTCTGGCCAGAAAACAGCCAAGGATGATCTGGATGAAGATTAATTTCAGAAGAGAGCTGCTGGGGCACCCTGCTTGCAGGGACCTCTAGAAAGCTGTTTCCACAGATTAATGTCATTGTACTCAGCTGTCCAGGCCCTCAGAGGCCACTGTACCCCAAGTCCAAGTGGACCCATTTACTGGTAAGCAGACCTTAGCATTGTCTATGTGGTGCTAATTGTTGAGGCATATAGAACACAGAGATAATGAGCTCATGGAGGCTCCTGCTGAGATTTTAAATAAAGTCTTGGGAGGTAAGGTCAAGATCCCTGCATATTTATTGCCTTGGAAGGACAGAGCCTGATGCTTTGAAGGTGAACTGTAAGCTGCAAATAAGACCAGGAAGGTAGAGATTTCAGGGCAGAGGACTTGCTGAAGAAAGCTACAGGAAGTGAGTACAGCCAGCCATGGAGAGAAGATGTAAGGCTTAGATATAGGGCTGCCAAAGCCCTTTGGATCTTGCCTCAATGCACCCTAAATGCTAGATACAAACATACATGATAAAGGGGCTGGACAGATGGCTCAGTGATTAGGTACACTTGCTATTCTTGCAGAAGATACTAGTTCGGTTCCCAGCACTCACATCAGGCAGATTACACTGCTTATAACTCCAGTTACAGGGGGCCCACAGCCCTCTTCTGACATCTGTGGGTACCAGGCATGCATATAAAACACAGGCAAAACACTACATACATAAAAAAATTAAGCTATAGGATATAATAGTTCCCTGATGGTTTCAGTCTCAGTTTAGACTAATACCTTCTTGATGTTTCTCTGTTCTCTTTGAAATGGACATGTTTGACCCATAATAATATGGGCCACAATAGTGTATCTTGGAAAAACGAAACTTTTTGCCTTGAGTGTCAGAGAAGAGCTTAACTGAATCTTTTAGCAATTCCTGAATCTTCCAGATTCTTAGAGATGGGTTAAGTGGATTTTTGTAACAAGAAAAGTCCAGGGGAGAATGGTATGGTTTTGATATTAAAAGGTCACCAAAGCTCCTGTGTTGAAGACTTAATCCCTGATGGTGACATTATATAAGGTGACCAGATACTAATTCTAGGGATTAATTAATCCATTGATGGGTTTCTAGCCAAATGGGCTAGGGCAGGCTGGACTAGGGAAGTGTGTCTTTGCAGGGTACATCTTATCTGCATCCTTCTCATCTGTCTCTCTGCTTCCTGTTCACTGTTCGGTGTGCAGGCTGGCTCCACCATGCCCTCACAACCATGATGCCCTGCCTCACTGCAGGAACAGCAGAGCCGCATGATCGTGGACAAACCCTCTGATCCATGAGCAAGAAAATCCTTCCTCCTCTAGGTTATTTTTCTCAGCTATTTTGTCACAGTGGTATACTAACCCAGGAACACGTCTCAGGGGGCTGGGCAATCTGGGAAAAAGGCACATGCAGACCTGGTGATGGTTTGTTTCCTCCTCTGTGTTTATCTGTACTTTCTTAAAAAAAAAAAAAAAAAAACAAAAAAAACAAATCTACTTCTTGAAAGAAAGTCACAGAAAGAAAGTCCCATTTCTATGAGGTGGCCAGAGTCATCAACCCATAGGGACAGGAAGTAGAAGCTGGGTACCAGGGCCTGGGGAGGGGATGGGGCTCTTGGGATTGAATGTCAGGAACAGGTCATTTTGGAGAAGGATGGTGGTGATGACTGCGTGACAAGGAGTGGCTACCTACAATGAACAGAACATTTCTAAATGGTAAAGGTGGGACTGGTGGGATGGCTCAGCAGATAAAGGTGCTTGCTGCCAAAGCTCACGTCTTAGATTTGATCCCCAGGATCCACATGGTGGAAGGAGAGAATCTGACCTCCTGAAAGCTGTCCTCTGATCTCCACAACTTGGCTGTGAACAATGTTCCCACATACAGATACATACACTTACAAATAAATGAATGTAATGAATTTTTCAATAGTAAAGATGACTTAATTTTATGTTATGTATTTTACCATGGTTTTTATAAACAAGCTGTTGACTTACAAAACAGATCCTTTCCTCCTTAGAGAAACACCTAAGCGGCTACCTAGCTTCTGGCATCTCTGACAGAAAGCTCCTCAGGTATTTGCTTAACTGCCACCCCCTTTCCTACTCCAGAAAACACAACCTGTCTTGCTTTTGGGTGACAGGCAGGCCTTCTATATCCCACACTGGCTTGGCCTGACAGTGCTAGGGCCTGTTTAAACATCTCCTAAGGCTGTAGAAACAAAACAAAGACCTCATGTGCAGGACAGTAGGTCCCTCCATATCTCCCACAGGCTCTCTAGGTCTCTGTCTTCCACAGCCTCTCATCTCACTGATGAATTTTCTTTACCCTAAACTCAGAAGCTCCACTCCAAGCTGTACTGGCCTCCCAGACCCCAAACCCTTTGGGGGGGCTTTAGGAACATAACCTTCCTACCTGCCCCCACTTTTCCCATAGCCTGTGGCCTACATCAGCTACACAAAGCAGCCACTGACCTCGGCAACTGGGCCCCGGGAGAGCATTTGTCACCTTGGGGGTCTTCCATCTTGGCATTGTTGAGGAGGTCTTGAAGAGGCAGGAGGCACTAGAGGGGACAGAGGTACCCAGGGAGGCACAGCTAGCCTGCCACTGTGCCTGAGCTCGGATCTTGTCCCTCAGCTTCTCCAGACGAGGGTTACTCCTCCTGGGCTGACGCTGGGGCCCCAACATGAGGGGTGGCCTTTCCTTCCAGGGCCCACGGAAAAGTGCACATGACTCATGCCCCCCTGAGGAGCCAGAGATTCGGCCAGACGACACTGAGCTGTCCACATCCCAGCTGTCCAAGCACTGAGACCTCATGGGCCGGTTGCAGGTCTCCATGTAGGGGCCTGGCTCCTTGATATAGTCAGACCAGGCCACATAGGGCACTGTGGGACGTGTCCCCTGCAGCTGGGAGAGGACAGGTCTCCTCAGCGTGGCCAGAAGGTTGCCCTTGGCTGCAGGTGGATGGAACACTTCATCCCTTGGAAAGAACAACAACACGACCAGTCAGAACAGAATCTCTTAGATGGAGTCCCATAATCTCCAGCGCCCCTTTCTCTGTATTCCTATCTTACAGCTAAGAAAAACAGGAAGGACCAGAAAATGCCTCCAGCACCTATGTCCATTCTGACCCTCTCCTTCAGACACTAATCACAACCTTTTAAGGTAGGTACCATGGTCACTTCAGTTTATGGATCAGAAAACTGAGGCTAGGAGTAGCCAGGCCAAACCCAAGTTTTGGCCAGGGCTCCACACACTCAACCTCATATCCTCTTACCTCCCAAACAAACAAGCTGCCCCCTGGGGATGGTGACCACAAGATTACTAGCATGACACATCCACACAAACACTACCTGGGCTTGGTGCCATTCTCATGATTGGCCATTCTCCCCAAGGCCTTGAGGGAGTAAAGGCCTTCTTGCTGCTTGTTCCTGGGGCAGGTCTTCAGGGGTACCTTTAGAGAGGTGGGCAGCACGCCCATGACTGGGGTTGGCATTGCAGCCAAGGCAGAAGGGTATGGATGGTGGGCCATACCATCTGGGGCCTGGTCTAACAGTAGTCACATGGTCTGTAGGTCTACCACCCAGCACCTATCATGAACTGGCTACTGTCTTGCTCTAGGTACTGTCCAGTGTGGATCCACTGACCCTCAGGACAGTTGTTGGAGGTGGGTAGAGACTGATTATTAGCCCTGGGTGGTCTTCTGATGGGCTGCTTCTCATGGGGCGGGAGAGAATTCCAGGTGGCCCATGACAGCATAATAACCCCGTGTCACTGAGTGATAGCCTGAAGCTTCAACTCCTACTCATGACTCTAGCCAGTACCCAGCTGCCCCTGACACCCCAGGGATCACAGAGCCATCAGAAACTTCTGGAAGTCAATATGGTGAGAAGAATAGGGGTTCTGTGGTCGGTAAGCCCTGTAGTCAGCACAGTTCCGAGGACAAAAGACTCAAATCCCAGGCCTAAGTGGGATAACCTTGAATACCAGGGCCCACACCCTACCCTAAGGACTGTGGACACTTCATGAGCCCTTTGCTGTCTTGCCTCCTCCCTGTTGGCTGGGAAGGGAAGGTATGGAACAGATTAGGAACCTTACCAAGCTTGGGGCTACCCCCCCCCAAGTATCCCCAGAGAACAGAAGACTATAAAGAAAAAATACCCAAGACTTGGCTTTTCTTTTCCTTAATAGTGCTGGAGATAGTTCACAGGGCTATGTTAGGTGAGCCTCCAGCACTGAGCTATACTTCATTCCTGAGACAACTGAAGGACCTGGTCTAGGGAAGGGGACACAAATCCCTGGTGACAGCAATCCAGACAGACTGCCTGAGAGCAAGGAGGGACTAACCTGTATCCCACCAGACCCTAGGCGCTCCCTCATAGCCAGGACACCCTGGCACAGGTAGGACCCAGAGTTGATTCCCCGGGCCCTGGACACCCTTGGTGCCAGCTTTTCCATCCACCACTTTCCCCAGGTCTGAGGGAGAAGAGGCTGTCCCCGGGGCAGGTCTACAGAGCTGCCCTTAGCGAAGTGGGCAGCACACCCATGACAGGGGTCTGACTTTGCTGTAGGGCCGAGGCAGGAGGACATGGAAGGTGAGCCCTGCCACCTGGGGGCCTGGGTCTGCTAGTGCCATCATGTGCGTGTGCCTTTTGGTCGGAGTAACTACATGGTTCTGCCTTGACTGTACTGGCCCAGAATCGGTTCCGCTTGGGCTCATCTGCTCCCTAGGGCCTGAAGTGGACCCCACTCATGCTCCCTCACGACATCTGCAAATGATCAATGGTCTCTGTGAATGTACTACAACTATATTTACTTGTATGGAAAACACATAGGCCTTTTAGACTCTTCCAAACTTTCTGCAAGGGATAGCATGTACCTAGGACAAGACAACCAGCTAGGATTATACCAGACTGCTGCATACTAACCCAAGTCAGGACATGAGGAAGCTGGATCACAACAGGGAGTGACTACCTAACCCTGTGGTCTTAGAGAGCTCAGCTTCAGACGTCTCTGCTCCAGTGAGCCTCCCCAGAAGGTTCTCTGCAGCCTTTGCTAGCCTGTCTCTCACCCTACCGCCTGCAAGATAGGGCTGAGCCCTGAAGCAGCAGGGCTATCCAGTCTCCCAGGGCTTGAAACTTTGTTGTCTAACAGTTTCCTCCAAAATTGAAACGTTCCAAATTAAAGGGAAGCTCTGAATGCAGTGAGGTGAAACTCAAAACAGCTCAGGAAGTCCCCGAAATTGACCAGATTTATTAGGCCCCTCTCTGCCAGAGTAAGCAATAAAGACTGCTGAGAATCACTTTCAGAGAGGCCAAGACAGATGAGACCAACTTCCTGGGAGAAGTAGAAACCAGCGGAGTAGTGGAGAGGAGTTTTGCCGAAGTCACTTGTAAAGTACACTCCAACCTGTCCAGGCTGTGCAGTGTGCTCCAGGTTCCCCAGCTTTTGGGCTGGGGTGGGACTTGGTGATGCTGCTGCTTTTGATTCATTTTTGCTCTTCTAAGTAACCCTAATAGAACTCATTGGTTCACCAAGTTGGACTTTGACGCTCTCCCTACTTTGACCTGTCGTGGGCTCCCTATCTGGGTGAGTAGACATGAGTGTTGTGTCTCCCCAGGAAAAGTTCTGTCCCACAACACCCTTGAATAATGGTTACCTTTGGCACCAGGCAGCCGGTGAGGTCCCGTTATGTACTCCTAGTGGTGGAGGAACCTGGTGGTTCTTAGAAGAAGAGACAATACTTCCTCACTGGGCCAGCAGCCCTGCTTCCCACCCACAGCAAGCTGTTTAGGGGCTGAGTTGTCTTCACCAACTGGGGCTTGACTTGTCTGGAAAAAAAATGAACCATAAACACAACAGGTTAGCCAGAGCAAATATTTGACTGTCGCTTTGATCTAAGTTATTAAAACAAATGCCTGGTGAGCAGAAAAATAAAACCCAACACACAAAACAGCAGCCTGTGGGCTGGTTCCCTCCCACCATGGCTGCTGCCGCCATCCTACAGGCTCTGAGCTCTTATCCTTCTGTGTCTCCCATACCACCCCACAGGCTTGGCACTCTGCCCTTCCTTGTCTCCCTCAGCCTTGGCATATGGCAATTCAGTGAAGGCTGTTGCCAGGTCCTTCCTCACAGGCCAGGCTCTCCCCCAAGGCCTCAGCTGCAGCTGCAAATTGGAACACAGGCTAACCTCTGCTTATATCCAGTCCATGGCAGGATAAAATCTATAGACTGCCCGCCTTGCCCCAGGACTGCCACTGCCGCTGGCAGGACAGAATTCTGCACTATGTCTGCCATAGGGTAGCTAGGCACAAGGCTTGGTGGCTTCTGGGCAGACCCCAGCCTAGGAAAAGGAGCACACATGTCCCCCACAGGCCAGGCCTGCAGTACTACCCGCAGCTTTTCAGCCAACCTAGAAACCCACTGCAAGACCCTGGAGATGAGAACCCCTCATGGCCCTGCTCTTGGGAGCCTGACACCTATCTACCATTCTCTTTGCCTTCTCAGGGATAAGGCACTAGCCCAGCCCCAGAGGCCACACATGCCCCATGCTTCCTGTCTCCTCCCTCACTCTCTTGGGAGGGTGGTCACCTACCATCCTACTGTGTGACTCGGGTCCTCACACTGAACCCACATTGGTGGTGCCTGCCAGATCTTCTCTGTCTTCCTCAAAGGGCAGGGCCTCGCCATGGATGAGCACAGCCTTGCTAGCAGCTGTCACTGGCCATGTCCCTTTTCTAACGTTCACAGAGACCCCTGCAGACTGGGCACTGTGCTAGCCAATGATGGCTTTGACCTTGTGTCATGCCTTGACAAATCTACTATACCAGAGGGATCGAGGCACATGTCTAAGGTCCTGGCAGGGTCATAGTCCATGATACCAAATTCTCTCTACAATCCACTACGCTCCTGCCGACAGCAGCAGCCACCTGGGGATGGGAGGGAGTCCTTGGGACCATATAGAACTTCACCTAAGGGGCAGCTTGTTGTCAGGAAAGGGATAGGGGAAAACATGCCATCTGTCCAGCAGAAAGAGGACTTCAGGCAAGTCATTCAACGCTCTGGGCCCAAGTCTGCTCCTTAGTTGAGTGGGCAGAGCCGTCACAGGGCTGCTAAGAGGTCAGAAATGTGCAGATTACACGGTGCCTAGCTGGCTGGGCATAGAGTAAAAAAAAAATATGCCAGAGCCCAGACCACTGTCTAGTTCCCCCATGGGCTCCCTAGGTACAGCTATGAGTGACAGTTACCCGACAGACAGTGGAGCCCCAGAGCCCTCAGCCCGCTGCAACTATGAAAACCACAGGCTCTAGCCAGCAGCATATGCTCCGCTTAGGCTACAGTCTGGGTAGGCAGGTGGCAGCAGGTGGGGAGGGGCTTTCTCCTGGAAATGACTCTAATTAGCCGGTTGTTTATTTCTCTCTTTATCCTCCCTGGAAAAGCAAAACTCAGAGCAGGCAGTGATCCCTGAAGGAGGGCAAGGCGCCACACCCACCACTCTGGGGGCCATAGAGCTTGATACCTCAGTGTGCTCCACAGCAACAGTGATTCAGGTTTGGCGTCCTCACGTTGACATGGCACCCAACTGCCAACATGACTGCCCAGACTGCAGCCTGGTCAGCTGCCACACCCCACCCTGAACACATCATAATGCTGATGGCCAGGAAAAGGGGCAGAGCCTCTGCCTTCTACAAAAGCACCCTGCTCTCCACAGACCAACGCAGGTCACCGCTGGGAATAACAGGCAGACGGGAGGGACACCGTTGGTATAAAGCACAATTCTCTTCCGTGACACACAACATGCACATCATACAGATAGCACAC